AAATGGGAGATTTCGGAAATCCGAGTCAGAGTTAGTAGCTGCGACGTGAGCAGACTGGCGGATCAATTATTCTGCCGACGGCTGGTCACGGCTCCGCTTTTGACTCCTGAGCTCGTCCTACGTGCAGACTCATCATCTACTCATATCTATTGTGCATCACGCACATCCGGAATCCATACACCCTGTTCCTCTGCAACGGAGCTATCAACGCTACATGGACCGAGGCGGGCACAATCAGGGACGAGGAAGAGGTGGGAAGCAGGGCACTCCGAGCCGCGGAAGGGGGAGAGGAGGACGAGGACAAGGAAGAGGATTTCGTGGTCGCGCTCGTGGCCGGGGTGGAGGACTAGGGTCTTCACAGGAATTCCTTGAAGCGATAGACTTTTCCGTGCTTCAAAACCGTACGTTCTTCCAGAACGCCATCGCCGATTGGCCAGCTCACGCCATCTAGACGTTGGAGCAGACTCCAACAGGGTCGGCGAATCCGGTGTCTGGACACCACGCGGGCGTGGCCGGGGCCGAGGCGGCCCAGGTTTCGAGAGTGGCCGTGGCCGGGGCACCGATTCCCCCATCCCCCGTGGTTATCGTGGACGCGGAATTGGATCGCCTCGGGGTGTGGAGTCCTCATCGGGGCGGGGGCGCGGTCGGGGCTACAACTCCTCGCGAGGCGGAAGTGGCTTCGGAGCGCGATTCAATCCGGCGGCACCGCTCTCCCAGCTTCTCATCGAGGAACGACCGTTCTTGCGGCCTATCAAGTTTGTTCGAGCATCCCTCCAGCCGACGCTGTTTCAGGAGGAGGAAGATCTTCTTCGGCCCGTGGTCGAGGAGGTCGTTGGTGCGCATTTTCGCTCTACTGTTTGTCGTAAATTCGCTCATCGGCTGGTCACAAGATGACGAGGAAACCAGCCACGTACCCACCGCCGATCGCGTCACCCGAATCTTCAGTGGCATCGATATCCCTCGTTTTGACGTCGACGATGAGGATGAGGATGACGGTTTGCAACAGATCGATTTCGCGGATCTCGGCAAGTTTGCTGAGCAGCTCTCCACCGCAGAGCCGCATGTGGGGCCGAGCGAGATGGAGGTTGTGGAGGAAAAGTTCACTGGGATCCTCCTCAACAATCGAATCATTCAGGGAGCTACTGCTACGCTACCAGATGCTCTATCCCTCCAAGACGTGATTCCAGAAACAGTATTGAACGACCACGAGGGTAGTGTCGATCAACTACCAGAGGATCCTCCGCTCTTCTTTGTGGACACGGCTGCGACTGCAGTGCCAGATGCGTTACAAGCCTCAGGCACCGGCGCTCTAGACTCGTTTCACGCCAAGCCGACACGCACAATCCCAGACGAAGACGACGAAATCATCGTGTACGTGGCACCCCATCCACGCAAAAGCAATATGCAGCGATCACTGCCTCCCACACCACCGGCCCGCACCCCGTCGCCCCTTCCCCTGGCGTCGACTTCGGCAGTGACCGGTGCGGTGCTGTTCGCATCGCCGGTGAAGCCAAAGACGCCCAGACGTCAAGCACCGGCGTTCACGGCCCACGGGCGGAACAAAGCTCAGCTAAAGACGCGCGGGCTGACGCGCCGGGCGCAGAAACGCGCAAGAGCTGGGCGGTCTTTCGGACTCTTTGGAGCGAGGGCGGAGGAAGCGAGATTGCAGGACGAGGATGAGCGGTGGGAGGAACGCCGGAGGGGTGATTCGGATTTGGATTGGGGTGACTCGGACGGGGAGGGTGACGCCGAGGATCACGGCATGCTGGTCGACCCAGAAATCGAGCTCGATGTTGCCGCAATGCGCAGCTTTGCGAGTGGCATGAATGGCGAGTGGAAGACGATAGAAGATCTGGCTATCGAGCAGAGAATGCAGGACGAAGATGACGAGGAAGGCGGTGCGGGGAACAGCAGTGACGACGGGGATGCAGGCAGTGAGGGGGATGCGGACAGTGAGGATGGGGATCTGGATGCCGCAATGGATGCAGAGGAAGATCTTATGCTTGGGGAGAGCGACGACCCTGAGGAGGACTCTAGTGAAGACGATGACTTTGACCAAAGCCCCAGGGCCGGGTTTCAAGCCCGTCTGGAACGGGTGCGCAAGGCTGCACATTCCAGACAAGTTGACGACAGCCTTGAACTGATGGACGACATCGATTTTGAAGAAGAGGATGACCTGCAAGGTCACTTTACCGATGCGAACTGGGCTGAGCTTGAGGTGCGGGGTTGTCTAATCGTTTCCTGCCGCTTGCTGACCAACTTCAGGACATCCTGGAGAGTACTGGCCGGCGTGGACGGAAGAAACTGCTGAGTGCGATGGTCAGCGGGGATTTGGTTGACTTGGACGAGTTCTACTTGCCAGCCAGTAAGTCATGACCACCCTCGCTGGCATCTCACTGACCACCACATTAGAACGTGGTAAACAGAAACGGCAGGACATCCCGCATGAGCTGCAAGAGCAGTGGGACCGAAACCGAGGCAAGAAGGCCGAGTACAAGCGCAATCGCGAGCTGGCCCGTCTTGCAGCAGCGGCCGACCCGCTCAGCGCAAAGAAGGGAGGGAAGAAAGGTCGAAAAGCAATGAAAGCCGCGGCGCGACTGGACCCGACGATCACGGTACTTCCCAACCGGGTGATCGACATGAGCTCGCTCGAGCAGCAGATCCGGAGGTTCATTGGGAACATTGGGGGTCCTCAGAGCATGACGCTGCCGCCGTGCGACAAGGCGACCCGCAAAAGTGTGCACGAGATGGCGATGGCATTTGGGTTGTCAAGTGTGAGCAAGGGTAAAGGCGACTCCCGATACACGACATTGACCAAGACAACGCGCACCGGACTGGTGGTAAACGAAAAGAAGATAGGGCGGATTGTGAGACAGGGTGGATCGCGAGGACAGGAGTTTGCGCAGTCTGCTAGAGGTAGAGCGCCGGTGATGCCCAAGCATCGAGACGGAGATGAGGTTGGCAAGGCTGCACCTAAGATCAGCCAGTCGAACGTCGGCTTCAAGCTGCTCGCCATGATGGGCTGGGCAGAGGGTGAACGGATCGGTGCTGGTAAGGACGGTCTACATGCTCCACTGACGGCTGTCATAAAAAACACGAAGCTTGGCTTGGGCGCGACCCGATAATGGACTTTGACTATCTTTTTGTGTTAAAGCTTGTTCGTTGAGCGTCGAGCTAGAATGTTGTATGTAAGAGAGATACGAACTGCTGCGAATCACCGAGATGGCTGCTGGATGAGTGGGTGCTGCACCCAAAGCTGGACTGGGGCAATGGGAATGCGGTTGGACGTGAAGAATTTCAAGCCAGAGCATATGGAACCATGTCAAGGATTATGCTTACTTCTGTGGAATCGGGCGCCACCAGAACGCGCTCCCCTCTCCCCCGGGGAGTACAAGATAACAATCAAATCACCTTCTTCAGTGATGTGGGTCGAGCGCAACGCAACAAGAATGAACGCGCGAATGCATTGAATATTACGGGAACGTGAACAGCCAGACAGTGAGAACGAAGAGCCCGCGCGAGGTAGGGGAGACACGATCACGTGTACAGCGCCCATTCCAGTGTACCTTGATAGTATCAAGATTTTGTGATTGACAAATGCAATGACGTTTCCCCGCATTCACGCACGTGGTGATTCTTCGAGAGAAGACGCGCTCGGTGGCACGCCAAGCTCGAGAACTGCATCGGCATGGAGTCCGCACATTGTCGGATGAGAAGAAGCAAACCCGGGCCGAGGACTTCGCAGAACGCTATATAACCTAGCCGATGATCCATATGCAGTGCTTGATATGCCAAAAACCTGCGAAAACGTTTATCGTCCGGGAAAGCTACTCAAACTCACACCTTGACTCTCGATACCGCGACCATGTCTTCGAGCTACGGCTGCTCGAGTGTGCCGGAAACCTACGACGACCCACCCCTCTATCTCCTCATCAATACGCTGCCTCGCATGAATGCCACACGATTCATGCGAACTCTCCGAGGCTATCTGCATGAAACATTCGGGCATCAAGTCGCTTGGGGCACGCAGATCGAGCTTATCTGGGTGTCCGAGCTGAGTCCGCACACACTGCCCACAAATACATCCGGTCTGAATGTCGTGCGGGTGGCGAATAGGTGTGTGGCCTCTATCCATGACGACAGTTACTCAAGTCGTCTGATCATCGGCAAAACAAAAGAGATGCTGCATCTCGAATCCAGCAAGCTATCGACTCGTCCCCTCGAAGTGATCTTGGACTGCGGTTCGTCAGAGCGTCAGAGCGGGCGCAAGGATTGATCAGCGGGTGACTGAGGTGCTCAGGGTATTCCTTACGCTGCATAGCAACACTGGAACATGTAGACATCCCTACGTTCACGCAGCCAGCGTGTTTGTTCTTAGGCCCATGGAATCGAATGAGTGACCACCCGTCTTTGTCCATTCAAGCGTACCTTGTCAACTGTCGTGGGTGTGAATCTTCACAAGAGAAACCCGTTTCACACAGAAATCTCCAAGTGGGAGAAATTGAAAGAATCTATCATTCGAGTTCTGACATCGGCGAACAGACCTGAGTCACGTCTGGATACTCGGGTTTATTCGAATGCGGATGGTGGCGCACCAGGTTCGGGATGCCGCGCTTTAATGCCATAAGCCATTCTTGTCAAGTGACACTTGGTAGAACTTGGAGTCTAGTCCAAGTGCCAAGCATCAGTGTGCTGCGGTATGAACATTGCTACCGAAACAAATTCAAGTGTTGTAGACATAACAATCAGAGCGAATATCGATGCGCCTGATGCGCTATCAATCATTCCTGGCTTGGAAGAAACAAAAAATCCCTTTGGATCGGAGACTCGACTTGATGCATGTTCAATTGCTGATGCGATCTTGTTGATACGGTCAACGCCAATACACAATATTCTGCAGCGCTTTTCATGTAATTACATGCGGTGCAGACTTGAATACTTGTGTCGATGATGCTTGATCATCTCTGAGCTGTGGAGGATTCTGCAATAGCCGAAACTCATCGTACTCGATCCAGAATCCATTAGTTACATAGTTGCATATAGAAATAAATATTAAACACAAAATATTAGATGGTGATGCACCCTTGAACTCTTCGTCGCGCCTCCGAGTACAACAAGATTAACAACAAGAACAGCCGTTCATCTTCGTTCCGAATCATCTGGCTGATCCGAAGTACGGGGAGAGTTTTCGCTTCCCCATCGCCATATAGGGGTGACAGGGTAGACAGCTTGAGCTCGGCGATAATTTCTCCCTTGGCGTTGGTTGTCTGGACATAGGATGCGCTCAGCATAAGAAGGGAGATAAGCTGACGGGATGTCCGACGCACCGTCCAGTAGTCACCCGAGTTGTGATACTGCACGCGGAACTCTTCTCCTTCGAGCCACCGCCAGAAGTACGCGCTGGCAGGCGATGAAACATGCTCTATCAGCAGAATTTTGAGAAGACTCACGAAGAGAAAATGCCCGCCTTCCTCCTCATCGTATCCATCCACTCGATCTTAGACCCAATGCGGAACGACTTCTTCTCCCAGTCGATAACGCCGCAGATCGTGCCGACACGGTTCTCTATTGTCGTCTCCATGGGCAAGCCGTACTCCTCAGAATAGTACGTTTGGATGCCGTAGCGCCGTGAATGGTCTGTAATATGCCGGATTACTGACTGCAGGACGTTTGAGCTGTCGAAGGGAAAGTCTTGGAAGACGTGGACGAAGGGGGGCATGGCACGAGTATTGATTATCAAAAAAGACTGAGGGAGCGCGCGTGGAAAAGAGTGAGCAGAGATGTGTTAGGGGAGGGAGGAGGGCAGGGGATGCGCGCGATGCTTAAAAATTGATTATGGGGACTTATGCACCTGGATGATGCTCCTAATTGTCTGCCTTAATGATGACAGGAAGGAGTATCCGGCCATCTTGATCACCCAAAGCGGCAGATTGAGTGGAAAGGGGGAGCTGAAGGTACCGTCACATCGGCTTGGATTAATCGTTGATCCGTTTGATGAGATGTTGACCGGAAGATCATGGTGTTCATGTTCATTAACATTGCATATACTTAGGAATACATTCGTGAGTGCTCGTGTATATAATTACATTACTGCTGTCTGGTTCTGACCTAGCCTGCCAACGGTGTAGGTCGAACGAAGACGGCATTTGCGGGAAGTCCCGCGCCCTTGATCAATGTGATGTTCGGTCTCGACGGAATCACCGCGGGGACGGTGAGATTGATGCGCCCCGCGATAGAGACGGGGGGCACTCTCGCGTGCACCTCGTTCGCAGGTGTCCAAGTTTCGTTTAAATCGGAAATGTAGGCTCTGCGGCCGGAAGAATTGGGTGGGGAGTACCACCACAGCGTTGTCTGTAGATCGTGAGATGAAAGCTACAGAGCCGCATCCCCCATATCAACTCACCACACCTGCAATGAGTTGAGTTTTCGCTAAAGGATACGTTAACAGGAGAAATGCTCACCGACGGGGAAAGTGTACGTGGCCTGCGCGCCGCGGAACTCGATGGTCGCGCGAACAGGCACGGGATTCCAAGTCGACGACGCCCCATCGTTCTCTGTCAGACACATCAGCTCTCGGCAGTCTTGGCCAAGCGTGGGATGCAACCCACCGTTCAACACAACCAAAGCATACCGGTTCCAGTCAGTGGAGGAGAGTCGCTTCGTCGCGTACGCCCCGACCGTGAGCGTAGACGCCAGACTTCCTTGAACCGAAACTCCAATCCGATATCCCCAGGGTCCCCCAGCGTCTTTCGGGATGATCGCCTTGGAGGCCTGGGCCATGGCGTAGACTGGGCACTCGTCAATGACACGCCATCACTGGAAGAGGTCGAGGAACTCACATTCTTGATTGTAGGAGAATGACCCATCGCTGTTGACAGTCACGATCGGCCGGCAGCCACCGCCACAACTGTTAGTTCCCGGCAAAATTGGCAGACCTTGGCCGTCGAGTGCGATATTGTACATGAGTCCAACTCCCGCCCAGTTCTGGAGACTCCCAATCCAGAGATTGTTCATATACCACTGCCAATTCGTGTGAGCCAGGCCATGAATAGATGGATCATACAGGGCAGCTCACTTTAATGTCAGACCACCAATCTGAGCCGATGGTACCACTGCATTCGGTGAAGTACACATTCTGAAATCGACCATCAGCGCAATCTTCAGGCGACTACGTTTGAGTCAACCGACCTTGTTTGGGTAAGCTTGGTGGAACAGGGCCTGGTTCGACACACTCCCGGCGTAGCCTATGAACTGAATGAGATTCTCTCACGAATCTCTCAGAAAGCCAAACTCACAGTGGAAAGCCACCCCATCATACGAGCCCCCAGCGTCTTGCATCTATGCATGACAGCTGAGCGTGCTAGTTGACATGGAAGGATGGATTGACTGACTAGAGTCACGGGGTATGTCGCTGCGTCATCCCAGTTATGCTGAGCACAAGATGAGTCACCGTCAAGATCATGAATAAGCACAAGCACGAACCTCGTATCCCACCAGCTTGACGCTGGACAGCCCAGCACTGTTCATCAGAGTCCGCAGAGCGGTCCCAATCTGGCCCTCGATTGCTACCAGTACTCGTCATGATCGGAACTCGGTCACATGATGGAAGCCGCTTACCCGGTGTCATGGTACACGTCGGATACGTCGGGTTGCTGCGCGAGATCAGATGCATGGCCCTCACCAGGAAGTCCACGACGCACCTGTTCTCAGGCTCGTTCTGCACAGATATTGCGTAAACGTTGATGCCCTTGCTCACGAATCCTTGCACGGCTTTCAAAAGATACGTCGGATCTGGGCATGTTCGGTAAATCGGGCTTGTGAACATCGAGGGAAATTACTCACAGACTCCAACATATTGAGAAAGGATTGTGCCACCATTCATTGTTCCCGTAGTCTTCATCCAGCCCGGCTGAAACAGTGTGAATCTTTGTCAGTTTTTCGGGTGTCAGAAACGTACGGGACTCCAGGGTACGATATGGACCTGCGGTGCGCATTAATATCTAATCCGAAGGTGATGAGATAGTGGGGATACCTTCAAAGCGGGATTGATCGAAAGGATATCTTGGATCGTCTGGAAGAGATAAGATGGCGAGTTGTTGATGTTGAACCGAGAAAAAATGATGTCCCCATTGGTATCGTCTAAGCTGTAAGCTGGAAAATCTTTCAATGGTGCGGATGGCATGTGCAAGTAAAATAGCAGACCAGATGCAGAAAAATCGGATGCGCCGATCGGAACACGGAGATACGAAAATCCCGCCGCGTTGGCTCCGTCCGCGACAGAGAAAAGGTGACCTAGAATCGACCAATAATTTGCGGAATTCTTGTTCTGGACAAGCAGCTTAGTTTCGGATAATATCGCGGGGATAAATAAGGAACCTTCAAGTTGTTGAGCGTCAGGGCAGAAGAGTCAGCTGCGGAAACGATCCGTCAGATCCAAGAATCCCTCATCACGAAGGAGAAGACGACTCACTCAAGGATCCGCCGAAGCCGTTGATCGACTGGTACACCTGTGTTTCCGTGACGACTATGTCCGCAGAACCAGTTGAGCCAGGGGATCCGAAGTTGATCGGGTTGCTGGGAGCGAGAGATGTGAACAATCCTGCCCGATCCCAGGTCGTCTGCCACTGAGGGTGGCCAGGGACAAGTCAGCTGCTGTAGCAGGCACGAGAGACGCTGGCGAGAACGCACGATGTCATAGATTTGCTGCGACGAAGCCTGCCTGAGAACGAGGCAAGCGGTTGCGAGGACCGGCAGAGAGAGACGCATGGTAGTTGCGCTGGACGAGGATCTGAACGGGCGGACGACGATGCGTGGCAAGTGGTAGAATCATAGCGGCGTGTTATAAGGAACGGGCCGGATTCCTTCCACGTAGGCATTGAATGGCATTTTCTCTGACTGCGCTCGCAAAGAACAACACAAGAATGGAATTGGCTCCGAGAATGCAAGAAGGAGCAAGGCGGGCGCCAGGAAAGAAAAGACCGGATCAGGCCCGCTGTGCACGATAGCTCTTGAGCACAGACAAAAGTAGTAATCCATTTCAATGCATATGCTGTTTTTAGCCCACGGAACGTTGAACAGCGGCTGTCGGGTCAGCGGAACAACCGAGTAGAAAATCACAAGCTTGACCGCCACAGACCTGGCATCCGAATTGAACCCCGCGACATCCGTCACCTGCTCCCGCCGACTACATAATGAGCGGCCAAGGGAAAGACAACGGTCCCAAAGCCCCGGCGGGACCGGAGCGCGCGCGGAGAATCCCCTGCCTGCTGACGAACCCGACGAGTAAGACGGTGGCGAGAAACGATGCCGGAATACGGCACCAGTCACCTGTTCAACCAGCCATGCGCATATGTCTCCAATCTCACCCGGAGTGCCCGAATCCAGATCACATCTCGAGGCAAAGTTCGAGGCCTAGCCGGCTCCAGGACCTGCCTTTTTGGGCGACCAGGACGAGTACCTACCGCTCAATCCCAACCACGGAGTGTTTTGCCCACTCCATCCCCACATTCCGTACCTCATGTTCGATATGACTCTCCAGCTGGTGCCCTGATGACGCCGGGCGATCATCGGGGGGAGGGTGGTCATCTGTCGACGGACCATACCTTGAGTGCTTCTTCGTAGAGCTTGATCCGCGGAGCTAGCTTTTAGTGGGAGACCGGGAGCTTCTTCCGGCACAGCATGGGCTACACAAATGTTCTTGTATGACTACCAACAAGGAACGATTATAGGGTTAGAGGATCATCTGAGCTGGATCACGTGCTCCGCCAGGTCAGTCTCGCTCTCTTTTGAACGTACCAGATCGGCCACGATCATCATTTGCGTAGGTGCACAAGCACAGAGCGGACAGCTCGCTACTCGCTCAAAGGGTCATTGCATTTCTCCCGTAACTCTGGCGCTAGGTGCCGCTCATGATGTCAGTGATCAGAAGGGTAAGCACCACAGCAGTGCGATTGGAGCCCCACAGCCGCCCCAGGACACTTCTTTCAACTCCTTCTGCGACTGTCGGTAGTGAATCAGTATTATATCAGTCGGTCTTCACTCAACCTCTTCTCCTCTCGCTTTAGGACAAAATGCTGGCACCGGGTCCGCTCACGCCGCTTACAGTGCACCTCGCTGCCATGACACCGCAGTACACGGAGCCGATGCGGCCTGCTCGACACGAGCGGTCGGAGGATCGTCCATGGCAGCGAGGGAAGCCGGCCATCGGTGATGATCGTGCGCTCCCGAAGGGGTTCGCTCCAGCTGGTTCCTCTACTGTCGCTCGCTTTGTACTATGTAGACGGATTGATCAGAATAGTGTTTCTCCGGTCTCCGTGCGACCGGACGGACCGTAGGGAATAGGGAGTACAATCGAATTGTTGCAGGCCCCCTGCTAAAAATACAAGGTTCAACTTCGCGAGCTCGACAAAAGGTGACAATGGTCCAAAAGACATCTTTTGACAACTCTACGGATACCTTTCGCGTGTACATGAACGGGCTGTACAGACAACAGAGAAGTACGTATGAGAAAATCAAGAAACACAACAAGAGAGTGGTACGTATGAAAGCGAGAGAACACGGTTTCAAAATATTGAACTGCGACGGGTTACAGAAGAGGCTGAGCATGACCTGAGAAGATAGACAGAACGCGTGCCGAAAGCCTTTCACGCCGCCAGAGCCTGGATGAGGACAGCAGCGACCACAGCACCCAGGGAGAAAACAGAGGTTCGGGTCGCACCAGATTTGGCAGCCGCACTCGGACTAGGGTTGGCTGAGGCTGAGGCACTGGCGCTGACGATCGATGAACTAATGCTAGACGCTATGCTCGAAATAGCACTGGCCACGGAGGAAGCAGCAGCCGTCGGAGACCTGATGACGGGTATCAGTCAGTTGCGAGCTGATGTTGATGGCACATGCTCAAGTGCCAATGGGAAAGGAAGCAAGACGCACAATTTCTGCGATCCAGAGGGCGCCGGATTGACCGTGAATTGACCCGAAGTAGCGAGTACATCCGAAGAGTTGGAGGAGGAGATCACGGCGAGGGAGTACGATCTGGGAAGGGTAAGCGGCTGGCATAGTAACCCAACGAGACAAAAGAGTTTGATTGTTGTTCGTGACGTCGTTCAGAGTCCATCACTAGCAAGAAGCAGCCAGCTGATCGCTGATCTTACATATAAATTCGACAAGGCGGCGAAGTGTCGCAGAGAGAGACAGCCGCTTACCCGGGATCGAATGGCGGAAATAGAACAGTGACCTGGTTCTTAGAAGGTTCCACCGTGTTGGCGAGGGCAAGGCCACCAGTCTGTCAACCAGTGAGTTCCACACCACTATCGAGGACGAAGAGACACGGACATAAGTCTGGTTGATCGCGGCACTGAACAGCGCCAGTGTGAAGGTGCCCGAGTCGGACGAGTCGGACGACCAGGTGACGGTCATGTTACGGTTGACAGTCGCACCCGACGGCGCTTGAAGGTTGGAGAGTGCATTGACTTGGGAGGTCAGTGCGAGGGCAAGGGTAAGAGCGGGACTAGGATTCCAATAAAAGTCAGAATGGATGAAGGCTGGGAAGATATGCAAGGGGAATTACATCATGGTGGAGAACATGGAGAAGGGACAGTCGAGGGTGATGCCGGGAAATGACAGAGGTGCTTGTGAGCGGGAGGATGGTGGTGGGAAAGAACAGGAAAAATCTTGAGCATGTTCGGACGTTGTTCGGTTCCTCTACTGTCCCACGTGCCCCAAACAACAAAGAAACGACGTCATCCCACGTGTCGACTGATTGCAATGCCTTTGCCGACGCCGACCGCCTTGTGCCGCGGGTTAGCCTACTCGAACTCCACGATCGAGCATATCTTGGGGAAGATCCACTCATACAGGTCTTTGCATCCACCTATCGGAGCTGTAGCACCATTCCTCGCCCAGCTTCCCGTGTGTGATACTGTGAGGTAGCTGGCCAAGATTCTCGATTGTGGGTCTTACACTACTTAGTATTCGGATACTCAACAGAGTTGCCTTCGAGAGCCTTAGTCGCGTATTTCCTTGTGTATTTGATATCTCGAAGGTCGAGCTGATTGTCCGCTACATACATACTTGTCTCAATACCATAGCTGCGATACAGCAATGTATATTGGAAGAGAACCAAGTGAAGAGAATCCCTCGTTTCGAATCCCCATTGTGCTTGCCTCGACGTGACGCATAGTACTTGAGCTGGACTGCGATTCGATGTGCAGTGACTACATGATGGGACAGCAGATCAGATAGGCGTACTGTCCGCTGTGAATCTCGGGTCTCCATGGAAAATGACCAGTTGTAAGCACGACACACAGAAGGGATGCAAGTTCATGAGCTTTGGGGTGACAGTCAAAACACTATAGGGTAAGAGTGTGGAGTGTAAGTTCCGAAATGGGCTAAAGTTACAAATCATTCGTGGTGAAAATGAAGTTACTGGTGATATTATATCATGCGTGGTAAGAACAACTGAGAGGAAGAAACATGATACAGAGTCGATTCCTGCTGTATCCTAGATCTTTTGTCAAAAGACCGGCTCAGCGGAAGTTTTTCGCTGAAAACTGCGTCCCAAAGAAATCTACAGGCCGCTAATCCAATACACTCTTGAGGAAAAGCTGGGGGTGACTAGCCCAGATGATAATGCAACGCCCCGGCGGAGATACATAGCTGAATAGCTATCTGTATCGATGACTCCCGCGAAATACAATTCCTCCCATGCACACGACAAATATTCAGCACGCATTCCTTTACGACCTGCTGTATTGTGCATTATACGACATTTTTTGAAATAGACGCGGCAAACGTCGAACGTGGGTTACCTCCCGCAGTGTAAAAGTCACGGTATGGAAGGATGATTTGGAGACCAGACCATCGAATGCGCTTTGAGTCCCGGATGAAATGGTCTGAGTCATCCGGGGATGGGTCGCACCGGGTGCGCATCACGGCACGTGAGTGTCATGTCATGTCTGTCTCGCGTGGTGATGGGATCTAACCTGATCGAGCGCCACCCATTCTGATGCCGCTACCGGGGTGCGTTTATCCGATGCGCATAGCCGTCGGGTGGCTCCCTTTCGAATCTTTTCTCCACCCACTTGGCCGCCTTACCCCTCCGGCGTCGATGCGCCTGTGCGCCCGATGGAAACGAACACGACGACGAGCTTAAGCGTAGGCGGGATCCAGGAAGAGCTGTGCGTCGCGTCGGGACAGTCGCTTTTTGGCTGCTTACGTTTGCGATGGATCGATCCAGGACCTGGAATTACGATACCAATCTCGTTGCGTTCACGCTCCTCTATTACGACTATCTCCTCACGCTCGAATGGGAAGTAACGCGCTACTGGAGCCCTCGTGCGACGGCACCAAACGTCCTCTTCTTCTTAAATCGATACGGAATGCTGCTCGGCACCGTCCCAGTCGTCATCCAGTACTTCTGGGCACGGGGCACGCCAGATCAGAAGCTTGCAGTGCGTTCCACCTTTGTCTCATCAGATCCACGGCCCGCCGAGTCTGACGATGCATTAGCTGTGAGAGCGATCGCTTGGGTGCTGATACGCCAACGCTGACTGATGATAGATGCGCAACACTGCACTCGTACCACGAGTACTTTGCGGTGGCGATTCAGATAATTGTCGGGGGTGCGCGTATCTGTCTCCATCTACGACCTATTGGCCGAATTGATCATTTCCTCCAGTCATGCTCATTTTGCGCACCTACGCACTGTACGAACGCAGCAAGCGCATCCTAGTGTTGATGGTCCTGGTCGCGAGTGGCGTGATCGCAGTGGGTGTGGTTAGTAGATCCTGGCCGCCCTTTTATTCGCCTGACGAATTCGCATCAGTGGGCAGTTCTGGTTGGACCCAAGCGAGCCACGAACGAAGTGGCCCCGACGCTCGCGCTTGATGTCGGCTGCACTTCTTCGGTGACGAAATCTCAGTGCGTATCTTCGGTTGTGCATATCCCCATCAGTTCGATCCAGACTTGCACGTCAGGGCTCTCGGACTCGCGGCAGCCTGGGCCGGGATGGGTGTCTTTGACTGCACCATATTCCTGCTGACGCTGTATCGCGCGTTGAGTCAAAGACGGGTGCAGGGCGTCAGACTCATGACTGTTCTGCTCAGAGACGGTTCAATCTATTTTGGGTGCGTGTTCGTCTCTGCTCTGCGACGGTTCATCTGTGTTGATTGGGATTCAGCGTTATCGTTCTCGTTAATCTTGCAAACATTCTCACATTCATCGTACGTCCCCTTCACTACTCTGTCTTTAATCCAAAACCAACGGGATGTAGATGGGAAAGGTCAGCCTTCTGATATCCGATCCTGGTCTGGACTAATATCTACATATCATCTAGTCATTCACCCGCGGTGTGCTGACTACGTTCACGAATGTGTCAGTCAGCTTTCCTTCATGCTATCTATGCTCATTGACCTGCTCAGTATATCGTCGATCATGATCTCACGTCTAATGCTGAACCTCCGTGACCCAGCGCTGCAAAGCGTACCCGCTCCTTCAACTAGCCGTTCCACAGCGCTCAGAGCTTCAAGCTCGCATGGAGCGCCGATATTCTCGACCTACGTCAGCGACGTAGTTGCTACCCGCACCTGTTGTGCGTTGATCAATAGCTTACGCAGTACCTACAGAACAGAGACTGACGATCAAACAGATGGAGATGAAAATGAGGGTGATATCGAATTGGTGCGAAGGTTGTAGACGCTCATGCACAGGACCGATCGCATGGGATGTACTGTATCTCCTATCTGAGACTGGCATCAAGAATTCTCTGCGGGACTTCTGCAAAATTCAAGTCCCGCCATCGATGTCGAGGGCCCCATTTGACATTTTTTCAATGTTAGTATGTAGCATGATGTGGCAAGAATTAAGCCAACGTGTTGCATGAGGCGCCGCGCTGTCGTCGTTGACAACGACGAGATGGAAGGTTCGAGTCCCGCAGGGACCCACCTCACCGAGCCGCTTTAGATTATTCTGCTGACCTTTTCAGCGCAATTAAGAGCTTCCGAAAACTCAACGATCTAATCAAGGACTAGAATTCTGTGAACATCCAGCCTGAAATCATGTGAAGTGGAATCTCGGAAAGCTGTTATCAGATAGCAATTCGGGATGGCGTCATTGCTGTTGCGCACAGCTTTCAGGCAGGATCTCACTAGATACAGATTCGACACCAGCAGGCGGCGATTTCAGGTCTTCGTGGCAATGAGTCAAATATCCCAGAAAGGGTGTTTATTCTGGATGCATTACAGAACACTGAGAGTTTATAGATCAGATTGTCTTAGCCTCTCACAGATCACACGGTGTAGAGACGGTCCATGGCTGGTTATGGAAATCTCAATCTATAAAAAAGCAACATAAAACAAGAGCACAATCTCCATGTAAAACGAGCAATCACTTGCTCATCGAGGGTCAAATAGAGAGTCCTATGGCTGCTGATGGTATCTTCCACCGCAATAACAAGCACCGGATGGAGGACAGACACAACTACTGTTAAAACGGGATGAGCACATTGTCACAGCCATACAACACAAAAACGCTCACACATACTGCTGCGGATATCCTGCCCGGTCGTAGTAATCTGTGTACGGATAACTCTGACCGGTGTGTGGGCCAGGCAACCCGCCTGCCACAGCCTGCGCTTGCTGCGCAGCAAACAGGCTGTACTGCGGATGACCAGGAAAGCCGGGGCGTGGGTAAGACGGTTCAGACACCCCCAAACTACGTTGCTCCGCCGCGGCTCTTAGGCCAGCGGAGGGCGGCGTGATCGATTGAGATGGCCACCGGCCGTCAGTTTCAGGATATTGGGAGCTCAGCGAAGACCCAGGTTCTGGCGAGTGCGACTGCTCGTGCTGGTACGCCAGCTCTTCGGGCACGGCAACGTATTCGCAGTGGAGCTTGCGCTTCGCGCATCGAGTGCACGGACGGGAGTCGCCCTCGGATGATGTGATGCACTTGTCATCCGTTAGAGACGTGTTCATAGGAGGTGTGGTGATGTACCTTGATTTTCCTCTGCCTGCAATTTGTGCATGCCATGTAAGCTCTCCGCCGCTTTGTAAACGGGTTTGATTTCTTGGTGGTGGTTGGAGACGACTCCGGGCTGGCAGGCATGGACGGAAGTGTTGTATGGTTCGAGGAGCCAGATTTGAGGTGCTGTGCGAAAACAGATCTTATATGCGCTAAAGAATTGTCACTGCTTCCCTTTTGACTCACATGTTTCACCCGACAAAGCAGCAATGGTTCTAGCCATCCGTGTCCACAGCACGGCGACAGAGCCAGCCATATCAGTCGGCGTGTCATTACCGCCATTGTCGCTGTTTGACCTTCATCGGAGACCGCCAACAGTGTTTGACTGCGTCCAGGAGAGCTTCCTAAGCCCACGCATCATGCACAGCCCCATTCAGCGCTCGGCTCCGGGAGCGTGACTGATAACCACAAGGGCTGCACAATCAGCGCTTGTGAAGATCTTCCTCGAAAGCGGCCGGGCTTCGTATAGCCTTCACAGCCTTACGGTCGTGATAAGACGAAATGCTCGCCATTGGGGGTTCTGACTAGGGATGGTATCAGCGCCTGGCGCTCAACCGAGATGTCAAGGGAGAAGAACAGTGAAGAGAGAAATGACTCAGACACTAATGAAGACTGGTGTCATCCGTACAGCATCATCCACTTTTGGACCGAATGGTGTATTTGTGACTTCCAATTATAGGGTTTGCACGAGGAATTCGGATCTGCAACCGGACACCAGCGCGCAACTGAGATGACCTCGATGCAATGTGCATCGAAGAAATATTGTCGCAGCGCCCATCGCTGCACGCACAGCCTCCAAGTACAACGGCTGGTCGTTGAGACGAGGTGAGGCTGCAAGTGGTGTCACGTGTGCGTTCTCCGACACCGCAAATTCATCATTTGCATCAGAATCCAGACGATGGAAGCAACTCTGGTCGCGTTTGGAGACTAGCGAATGCGGGAAGAACATTTAAGTATGTGAGCATGGGAGCATCGGGTAAGTGATCAATGGTTGGTCGTCGAGAGCGTATCAAATGGGATATTACCAAAGACAAAGCTGTTGATCCCGAGGGCCCATCCGTCTGGGAGGATCTTCATCCGGGCATGGCTGGAATGGGAGCGAGTGAGTATCGCGATCACCTGCCCAACTTTCCAGGTTGTCACATGCACATAGACATGTCAATCGAATGCTTCGTGATTTCGTCTACGTTTGCGGTGTTCCCACGCTCAACGGTCTTCACATTACAGGAAGGGAGCGTTGGCCACAGACAATGCTCGCACCGCAGGGACCCTGGCAATCGCGGTCATGATCCTGAACTGAAACTCATTTGTGCCTGATCGTCGGTGTTGATACATCTCTGATACTCTGCTGATCTTTCTGGCCGTAATCCCCGTATTAAATGTGCCTACATAGTTGAACTTCGGACTCTCGATTGGTCCTAACTTTGCCAGAGGCCGTCGTCAGTCTGAGGAGCCAGATTCCCCAATGAGGAAAGCATCTTTGGCAGTCGACATTGTTAAGAATTCGAAAGCGCGTAGCCACATAGAATCGAAAAGCCACGGATGAGACAATGATTGTGCCCTTCGGTTATTCTTGGGCCTTCAACCCGCTTGACTGGAGCGGTTGACAATGGAGCCATCAAAGCGCACCGGCGCATTCGGGAGTCTATAAAAGGAGAGACTTATTATACCGGCTTGTCAACCGGGCTTGTACCCCATGTCGGAGTTTGAAATTAGCGGGCCGGGCTTGGCTTGTGTGATGGGGGCGTGGGCGTAGCTTGTGCATGAATCTGATCAATGATTTCGTCGCTGCTTGTCGCGTCGGCCCCGCGCTCACGTCGGACGTGCAATTTCATGGTCGGAGTACATCATCTTTCATTTTAAATGTAGAAATCAGCTTAATTCTACTTCGGACGACTCCGTTGTCAGCACCATCGAGCCTGAGTAGCCCGTGCTCAGCGGTAGCTCACCGCCTCTTCGCTTTGCCTCGGCGCCCCTTTGCCCTGGACTGTCCCCGCGCTTTCTTTGCGCTTTGCTCGCGCTCACCATCGGAGATTATTTCTTCCAGGTTGCGCTTGTGCCGCTGTCTTCCCTTGGCCGGAATCAGTGCGTACTTTGGCGCCTTGCCTCCAATGCGGCGGTAGACCGGGATATGGATGTGGGGGTCGTAGCCGCAGTGCTCCGTGAAGAAGCGTTTCTCGTGATCGTCCATCGTTTCGTCCTCGCCTTTCATCTGGATCTCGCGCATGACCTTGATAACAGCCGCTGCCTCCTCGATGTGATGACCTGGGACAATGTGGCCATTGAGAAAGTCCTCGAACGTAGTGCCTCCGACGTCCATCGGCTCCTTCAACTCTCTCTGAATGAAGAGAAAGTGAAACAGGATCCCTCCGATGTACACCCGCTCGTTTCGTTGCGCTGCAGTTAAAGCCGAAAGCCCCTCGGCTTTGAATAACTTCTCTGCGAGACCGGGGAAGATCTGTAGCAGCTCGCCCGTCATCCAGAAGAAAAACCTATCAGCCCATTTGCTCATTTCAACCTTCTTTTTCTTACGACGCTGAGCCGCTGCATATTCCTGCCAGCTCCTGATCACCACGTGCTCTGCCCCGTTCCAGGCAATGAGAACATCGACGATTGCAGGGATGCTCTTTTCGAGCTCTCTGCTCAGGAACGATCCCTCGTGAATGCCGGGGGTTTTGCACATGGAGATAGGGAGTCTGAGCTCTCCAATCTTCGAATTGTGAGTCAACCGCTCAGTGTATCTATAACTGCACTCACCTTGTGGCCAGGTACATTTGCTTGAGCTTTTAATGTCTCGTATTGCATGAGCCTGATGCGCGATAATCTGAAGTTTGGCAGTTTATGTGGGAATTCGGGACCATCAGCGAGCGGATCCGAGACAAAAACAGACCACCGAAGTTCGTACTCGTCATCCTCCCACTTCCGATCTACGCAGCGCTTGAGGATCACAGCAGGATAGAACTTCGAGTCGGGAATCAGAGGATCTGTGGGATCGGGGAAGGGGGCCGGGATAATCGTTCCGATTGGTGGATACTGGCAGTGAGTGCAAATGAAGTGCGTATCATCGGATTCCCAGTCAACAGTGGGATCAAGGCATTCAATATGCGACCACCTTCGACAATGTTCGCACTCGGTTATGGCTGTACCTGCCCGTGTAGATTCATCTGCATCATCCACCTCCTCCTTGCATCCGTCACATCGGAGGTGTAGCGGACCATCGGAGTTGGCTGGAGAGCCCCGAGGTGGAAGATAGACGCTTCCCTCCAACACTGAGTCTGCCACTTCATCTCGACTTGAACGGAAAGCTGTAATTGGCGGAAGATCCATCTCTGGAGTGAAGATCGGGCGGTTCTGACGATGCGACTCTTTATCCAGAGTGGCAAGGATCATCTCGTCGACGTCGCCGTCAGATGCCGTGCAGTTTTGAGGAGCAAAATCGGAATCTGGGTTGTTCAAGAGGTAGTTGAGATCAGCCTCAGAGCACGAATCCCAGCCGTTGTTGCTGTGCTCTTCATGAAACCACTCAGGCATTTCTTCGACGCCACGAGATGGGGTACGGTCAATGAGAGACGCAGGATTGTCGCCAGTATCCACAGATGGACGCAGATTAAAATCGGCGGCAATTTCGGCACATGAGCGTTTGTATCTCTGCAAAAATGAGTGAATAATTACACAAGCGAGATTGAATGTGAAACGGCACCGATTCTGCGCTGGTTCGAGTATACATGAGATAGACCGCACGAGGATCATATCGTTCAATCTCCGAAGCAGGTCCGACAGCCTGAAGGAGACCCTTCTGTTTTGTATCATCATAGACAAAGGCAGTCGGACCAATAACAGTTGATGTTGTGAAGTGTCCAACCTCGCCCTCCTCGTATCTGACAACAGCAGCCAGTTCGTACGAAATTGACCCGATGTGAAGCGTCCGGTCGAAATTTGGCATCATGCAGTGAACTCCTCTCCAATCGAAGCTCCCATTCTGCGAAGTTTGAACGAGTGGGTCGAGAACAACCCGGAGAAACAGTGGGAATACAGATGTGATTGAGGTTGGTGCTGCTTTGCAGTGATTCTGAACGCTGCATCTCTGTGTTGCCGAATTGTGAAGTGGATCGCTAGGTTTCAGAGGATCGTAGAGTGTCATCCGTGAAATGTGATGCGACAAGGATGGTGAGCCGGAGCCTGACCAGGAGCGCGTTCCAATTACGATGTCGTCTTTTCGCAACGCCTTCCGAACATACCGGATGTGCCACTCACATATTACGAAGTTTTGGGGCATTCCTGAGCTCAGAGCGTTGTGGGAATGATCGTGTTGTACAGTTCTTCGTCGCGGAAGACTTCGCTCATAGGGCACTAACTTCAAATCTAATCCAAATTGCGAGCGCCCTGTTGCATCTCACGGGCGCCGACCAGCTCCATGCACTTTTGCAAAAAAGCCCGGTAGTCCGTGACGTGTTTGAGCCTCTGTCTGCTGCACAGGTCGAGAAAAGAGTGCTTGGCGGCATATCTACAGGTAAAATATGATCAGGCTATCTTTGGCGCCGTCAATCAGCATGTACATGAGCCCTATCTAGCGTAGAGTACAAAATATAGCTCATAAACACCGTAGACAGACTCTGATTGCGCTTGAAACTAGGGGAGACAAGCCGATTTGTCGGGCATGACAAGCCGACAAATTGGCTTGCAAGCCTGATGGCATCAGCTGCCAGCCAAATCCACGCCCATCAGTAAAAAAGCCGTTTTGCGCAGGCGCAAGCCGTTTTGTCATGCCCGAAACGTCGGTCTCCTCACCGAAAATGTCTTCAATTCCGACTTTACCATCCGCTACGATGCTCCCGATTTTCAGAGACCTGCGTTCGGAAGACGCGGTATACCGTCCGGAGGAGATGTCGTCTGTTGAGCGGGCGGTCGTCGTACGTCTCGACATCCTTTCCGATCAGAACTCAAAATGACTCATTTGTTGATCTCCAGGACCGTGCAGTAACGCCTCCCCCCGCCCCATGCCTCGCTCCAATCTGCTTCGGCGTTTGGATCTTCGCTCTCGAGCGAATGCACCAGTTGATTCATCAACTCCCTAAGATGGATACGCTGGTAGCTACACCAGCAGGGACGTTCCTTGCGCTATCGGCCTACGACAAGATCCCGCAGATGCTGGACGATATACTGCGCTTGTTACGCAACCAGGCGGCTTTGCTCGCTTTGTTGCCCCTGGACATTTTATCAGAGGAAGACCAGCGGACGGCTGACGAAGTATGTACCCTGGCGACTTGGCTTGTGTGTGATACCAAGAAGAGATTGGAGGAGTTGAAGGCATAGACAAAGGTTACACCTAGCTTTGCCCAGTCGGCCAAGGAGCAGTGAAGAATGAGACGGAGGAGTCGACATTTCTAATATGTTTCAATGTTTATGATTACGACACAGTCAAAGTACAAGGTCCGCAAAAACGGGTCGATGATCACTCGCCAACACTCCATCGTCCGTCAAGGCACTGTCCACCTTGTATCTCACCGATTCCCTTCAGACTAAGTCAGTGTCACCAACACCCTGAGCTATTGACTTACCATCCGCCGTTGCTCCCACCGAAAATGAAGTCGATGCGGCTCCATGCTCTCGCGTCGTTGGGTGCGGAGAAGCCTGTGAAAGTTGCGTGATTGGCAGATACGTGACGGCGCGGTGTACAGCCCCTGAGGTCTCGCAGCACAAACGGTGCAGCATCATCAGGAACGCTGTACCGTTCCGCAAAATCCGTTGGCACATCCACCGGCAGACGCATACCCGTGGATATCTCATACGCCCCGGAGTCCGAGCCTGTTGGGGGACTGCGGCAGAAAGTAAGCCTTCGCAAGTAAAGTGCACCGGGGCTGGCAAACCTATTGAAGTCGCCCATGACGATGACCGGGAAACCGCTGGTGTGTGCTTCGAACCTGGCCCGGGCAAGGATCATGCTTGCTGCTAGCCGGCGCTGCTCCTCAGATCGTTCGTCCATATGGGTATTCAGCACCGTGAACTTCTGTCCGCCATGACGTCGTTGCAGCTGCAGAACAGTGCATACACGGATCGAGCCTGCGCCGGGGTACCGCGACGGTGTGAATGGGGTCAGAGACGTCCAGAAAGAGTCGTGTCCCAGGTACTCAAGCTCTGATCTGTAGAGAGAGGAGAGGATATCAGGTTCACAACACACATAAGAGATTCTGACGCACTTCTTGTAGAACACCGCACTGTACTCCCCCGCCTCCCGACCATCATCCCGTCCGACGCCCACCCAATCCCAGTCCGCTTCACCTAGCAGCTCGTGCAGATCCCGCACCTGCCTGACCAACGCCTCTTGGAATCCAGCCAGCACAATTCCCTCGCCGAGCAGGTGCTCCGCGACGCGCAGCCTGCGCGTGCTCCACGGCTGCTCGCCCGCTTTCGCCAAGTATCGAGGCGAGTCCAGTGGGTCCGGAAGGTGCGTAAGCGATTGCGCGACGGAAATCGTGTCGGGCCGCGAGTCGTAGCGCAGGTTGTAAGTCACAAATCGCATTGCTTGGGAGTGCGCTAGTAAAACGGTGGGGCTGTCATGGTGAGAAGGCACCAGTACCTCTCGTGGAATCAGTATGCGGGAGAATCTAGAGCGAAGGCAATATGTGAGATCAGCGAAATTCCGGTGAGCTGGACGAAGATACTGACCTGCATGTTGTGTTCACTGTGCTCTCCTTTATGCTGTCGTCGCCGATCGTGGTAGGTCGTCCACGTCAAAGTGCGTGATCTGATCGAGCACATTTCCGATCATCATTCATAAAGATCCGACTATGCTGGGCCGTGAACGACTCGCTTCACTATATTCTCAGCTTTAGATTTCGATATCCTCATAGAATGATATTTGAGACTAAATCCGGGTATTTGTAATGCCTAGATCCCCCCCTACTCGAAAAAAGCTCTCTGCAAACGCTGATATGTATCCTCGTCAAACTCGACGAACTGTAGCCCGTAAAATTGCACAATGACCCGCTCTTGAGCCTCCCCTTGTAATTTTTGGCTCGAAGAGCTACTCTTGACCCCTTGCTGTTTTCTTTAGGTCAGCAAGAGAGCGCGAATACTTAAAGAATAGCAAATACGCACCAGGATACTCTCGTCCAGAATATACTTCTGTGCGTTCAGCAAACTTTTCACCGCACACACCCCGCGGTAGTGTACGCCATCCCCTGATTCCACGAGGAGATTCACCAAGGGAGAATCACTTCCTTTCTGTAGGGGAGAGGAACTGCTCTCGGATAGAGGGACCTCCCACCCTATGGGTGCAGCTAGGATGAAATCATCCGATGCTGGAACACGAATTGCGTGGCCGGGAAGGAATAGCACTGGGCTGAAAATCTCCTCAGTCTTCCTACAAAAACAGAGCTATGAAGCTCACGGATCCAAGGATACGGACTGGGAAACCGCACGACGGCCGTAAGCGCCACTTCCAGCGACCTGAAATGTCAAGGCTCACCGAAAATGTACAGCGGACGCCACTGCCAGGATCAAGCGTTCCGATACGCTCAAGGTGATCCATCAGAGTTGGAATCGCTCTTGACGCGGGAGCAGCGTTGCGGATCATGATCTTGAAAAGGATGTTTCGGGTCCCGTATGAAGCAACGGTGGTTACCACAGCCGGCTTGTCACAAACGTCTGAGGAGCTCTCTTGGCAACTGACTGGCGGCGGTGACTTGGGCTTAGTCGAGGTGAGCCTGCCGACCTCCTATTCACAGATGTTGGGCAGTTCTGTCGATTGTCGAGAAACCATCGCTCACTGGTGATGGAGTCCGTGAGACCTCGGCCCCGATCTTCCTTTTGTTTTCCTTTCCAAGGGAGCGGGGTTTGGGCGTCTGGAGGTCCACAGATAAGGCGCTCTGTCAGTTGGCAAGAACAACTCACATGAGACGGAGAGCGAGAGGGTGTTCCATTCGAAGGAATCCGGCGGAGAGGATTGCGGGGCTAGAAGCACCATTCAGGAGGCTGGACGGGAAAGGAGTAGAGAACGCCGCACTGGGGTACGCGTTGGGGCGTCAAGTCCAATTTGAGTTGGATCTGGAGCAGGATTTGCCTCCCAAAAAGTCAACAGAAGATGGAAAAGGGTCAGACTGACTTACTGGGCTCGAAGGACTGGGCATTATCGAGGGAGAATCGTTTCTCGATGGTTCGCTCGCGGAAGTACTGGCAGCGAGTAAAGCATCAGCGGCCCGCTGCGCCTTTCGAAGCTGTAATCCGATCATTCAGCTATCACCATCTGGGAACGTTACTTTCAGGAACTTACCTCGGCCCGTCTTGCGTTTTCTCCTGGATCCGCTCTGAAACGGTTCTGCGCGGAGTCAATTAGCTGACTGAAAATAGCGTGTATTTGCCGATCTTACCAGACGATCTTGCTGCCACTGGTTCTAAGACGTGCATTTGGATTTCAGTGAGCGACATTATCGGTCAAGTAGAGTCCCACGCACAGCTTCGATCTCGAGTCCAAGCACGGAGGATCCTGTGATATGGGGCATTGAAACACGGGTGCCAGCACGCAACGAGAAGGTGAATTGAAGTGGAAGTGAAGCTCTGGGATGAGCACGCTCGAAATAACGACTTTTATATCGTCAAATCATCGAACAAAACAAGGTGGGGCACGTCTTTGTCGTCTAAGAGGACGTATTTATCCATGTGTCGCTCGGCCGCGAGCTCTTTGTGTACTTCCCAGCCCATTCTTTGTCTTCCAAGTGCTTAGTTTGGCACGCTCCTCCTCGCGTCGGTGTAAGGAACTCCTGCGTGTAAGATGGCCGAAGCATTGTAGAAGAGAAAGATTTGATGGATCATGGCTGTGCCCCGGGTCACCGGGTGTGACCAAGACAGTATTTTATGGCGTCTCACCAAATGCAGATACATAGAATCAGGACATCAGCGAAATGTTGCACTCTGTGCAGAAATATCAGTAGAGCTGTTCAGCAGTCGTTTCAAACACGATTTTTAGCTAGTAGTTTGTAAAATATGAGTGGAGCTTAGAAAAATCTGAGCTACACACAACACCGGATGAACGCCGGGAACTCCGTCACCACGATCATGTGATGAGCCGAGCGGCCAAACCACCACTTCATTTCCTGTCCTCATCTGAACTCAAACTCCATGGCGGAGGATGCCCTCTTTCCTCACCAACGCTGTAAATTGAATCCTTGCGGTTGTTCTCGGTCTTCTCGCCAATATGGAGGACAACGATGTCTTCAATCTGCTTACACGTGCAGAATGATCAGATCCGTCTTCGGTGGCATGTTTCCTTTTCGGTCAAAATTCGGCCTCGGTACTATTCCTACGACACTCCACACCTAAGTAATTGGGAAGTAAAGTCTACTCCACAACCAGGAAACTCGCAAAAAACAAATCGATTTTTTGGTTCTGCTGAACAGCTCTAGTGCAAACCGTTTTTCTATTGGCGAGATACCGGCCCTACGCTCATTTCAACGGCCGATACTTCGTATTAAGTACTGTCATTGAAAACTAGCAGTCACGCGTGACACCCCTTCTCTGCCCCTTTCAATCCCTCTTTGACTATGATTGGGCTCAAGGGCACGCTCAATGTATGTCCTTCCTTCCCCTCCTTTTCTCCTGCCTCATGAAAACTTAAAACATGCACCTCTGGCAGATCATCGACAACTCGGGCGCCCTGGTCGCCGAATGCGTGAACGTGCTCAAGCAAAAGGTCAATAATGGCTGGGGCTCCGTCGGGGACGAAATCGTTGTTGTCGTCCAGCGCGCGCGCCCCGTCACTGCCGCCGCCTCAGCTTCCGTCACCGCCGTGAAGGTGCGCCGTGGGGACGTCCGGCGCGCGGTCATCGTGCGCACGCGCAAAGCCGTGCGGCGGCCCGACGGGCGCATGGTGCGCTTCGACGACAATGCTGCGGTACTACTTAACAACAAGCGCGAGATGCTGGGCACTCGAATTGGTGGGGTGGTCAGCGCGGATCTGCGTATGAAGGGCTGGGGCAAGATCGCGAGTCTGGCACCCAAGGTCTGTTGTTCTGTCCGATTTCGCGTGCAACTCGAAGGCTGAGAGTTGAATCACCAGGTTGTATAGATTGGCTTTGCCGAGGGCCTTATGATTCCTGCGTCCTAGTTCCCTCTAAATGGCACGCATCGTGTTCGAAGACGCATATCATAGAACGAGATAAGCTCTGTGCTATATGCAGCATAGACCGACCACCATGCAAGTGCATAATCAATCATCCCCTTCCCTCACGTAGGGAGGAGGCGCCAGCGCTGTACTGGTCATAGACATCCGATTTTCCGCCCTTGGCTGCCCGACACTCATTATGCGAGCCTCCAACTCGGCAACTCGGTCCTCCAGAACACGTTCTCGCGTCGCCGTTGACGCTGAAGCAGTCGAATACACACTTGGCTCCGCCGTGGTCGCCGTACGTGCAGATCCGTTGTCTCCGGAGTGTGGCGCAGAATCAGGGAGCAGTGCTGCACTATTGGGACCATGGCTGCTCGATCCAAGATTCCGGAGGAGCCGCGCTGGGTCAGGTGTGAGAGAGGGACTGGAGACGGGGCTGAGATGGGTGCACACCTGACTTCTCGCCCAAGGGTGCTGGTCCTTCTGCAGATGAGAGACGATTGTTCCCTTGCTCGAAAGCGTACGGTGCCGCAGCCGTCTTTCCGTCCTTTATCATCCTTCTGCGCCGTCGCGAGAGCAATACAAGCATGACCAGTCCACCGAAAGTAACCCCACCCAACACCCCACCTAAGATCATTGCGAGATTGGGCTTTGAGCGAGCGGAGAGTTGACTAGGTGCAGAATTGCTGGTCTGCTTTGAACTTGTCACTGCACTCTCGCTGCTTGTGAGGGTGGTAGAATGAGCTCGGTTGGACGATGATCTGCTTCCCGTCAGAGCTGGATGGAGATGGGACTCGGGCGAGACATACGGAGGATCAATAGACGAGCTTGAGGTCTCGCTCAGGGATGTGGACATCCTGCAGCACAGATATCAGCGGCTTTGCGCTCATTCCAGAGAGCGTGACGGAGAGGCCAGACGCACGAGTTTGTCACAGAAGGTTTGGATGCTGCAGCCGAACCTGCCACGGACTGGATAGCAGAAGCAGGGGCGACTCTAAACGACATCAATGCAAGCACTGGATCGGGACGGCAACATCGCCTACTTTGTCTGGCTGGCACTGGGTGCAGAGTTGGCTCTGGATTCAACAGTCAATGATACTATGCTGGATTATCTTGTGTCATAGCGCACATGCTAGAATTAGGGGACGAGCTGGACATCATCGTGCTCTTCAGTCGTGGGCGGAAGTAGTCGGCCAACTCACTCACTTTGGACTGTTATTGGTATCAGGGTTGACTGTGGGGCTGCTCGTCACTGTCGTCGTCGTTGTGCCGGCGCCACTGGACCCCGAGTCACTTGGCGATCCGCCAGTAGTAGCGGAACTTCCAGTCCCCGGATTGGAAGCATCAGCGACACCGTTCTGCACGATAGCGTAGTCAAAGAGTGCCTCCGGGCCGCCGAAGGACTGAGATTGCGGATTGACATTGAATATCCAGCTAACGGTGTGACTGGTGCTTTGATCGAGTCCCGAGGCGCTGAAGAACGTCGCGTTGTACGCGAACCGCGCGTTGCCAGTGTAGTGGTGCGTCGTAGAGATTGTTCCCGTCGAGGTTGGGAGAGTGAAGTCGATATTGGGTTGCGCGCCGACTTGGTCGATGCCGAAGATCCACACAGCCGAGCCTGGGATGCCAGTGCGTGCCGTGAGCGTGCGTGGTATGCCGGGACAAGACACCAAGGAGGGCGTACCAGTGAATGTGAAGCTACCGCCGGTTCCGAGCGTGTTGCCATCGTGCCAAGTCCCGTCGAAGATCTGAGTCGTGTCTGGCTTGGACGCGCAACCGTTGCACGGATTCGAGGGGCTTATAGCATTCCAATTCCCCGTGAACGTGAAGCTAGAGTCGGTGTCATCGAACGTCGAGTATTTCACAGCTGCGAATGCATTCGGGGAGATGAGCACGACGAAGAGGGGGAGCCAGAAGGTGGGAGAGAACGAGTGTGGTTTCCGCATAGGTGTGGATTGTACGCGCAGCAGCAGCAGACCGTCCGCTGGCCGCGTTGAGTGGAGAAAGGAAATACAGGGGAGCTGGAAGTGGGCAGGCCCGTGACGAGAATTGAATGATAGAAACCATGGTGGTATTCATCCCTGTCTGAGCTGTCGCGGTTTGAAATCTGAGCCCGGGTGTCAACGACTTGGCTTCGGGACGCTACATTGTCAGAGGGTTGATCATCCTGACTCTTTTCAAGACTGGGCTATAAGAAAGCCTTGCGCGGGGCTTCAGACTTTCCTCTTCTAGCTCATGCACCAGTCTCCTTGGTCTCCGACCCAAAATCCGAAACAAGAGAGCGGACCATCCATAGAGTTCCCGCAAAGACCGACGGATTGATCATCTCTGATATCCTGCCGCTGGTTTCATCGTGTTTGACTAGAGAATGGAAGCAGAGAGCCTAGTCGTCACATCGTCAAGCAGGAAGATTGTCATCGTGGTAAAAAGATCCTCACGTCATTGGTCAATCAGTGACGCAGTCCCGATGACATCAGTGATCTGTCTAATTGGAGACCCCTGAACATGCGTCAGGCGGAGAACTGTTGCGGGACTCTCGTTGCTCAGTCTCCGAAGCGCTGTGCTGTCAAAAAAGTCATTGGACATGAACCGGGGCGAGCAATATCACGAATTTTTCCTCGGCGCGTGGATGATCGCCCGACTCTTGCCTAGACCCTTTCATTCGTCATTTCCCTGCGCCGTCGGTCTAGAATAGGGAAAAATCCAGATTTTCCACTTGAAAAGTCTCCTGTGATAAAGAAGAGGGAAGATACACCAGTATTACTGTCATCTGATGGGTGAGGTCTGGTGTCGTCCTTGACGATCGCTCAAACGACAAATATTGATCTGAACTCGCGTCCGTCTCTGCCATTTCAATCAAACATCTGGAACATGAAATCATATCTCCAGCGCATCCAAAGAGGAATCAGATAATCGATGATCTCAGACTTGAGCAATAGCAAGACATATCATTTCAGCATGATATTGGTCATTGAGGGGGCCTCCCAAGGATCAAATGTAGATGGAGGCGACTAGGAATTGATTTTAACTTCACAGGAGGCAACCTCCTCTACATCGTCAGAGGGACATCATGTGTCATTTCAGAGAGAGTACTGACAGAATATGAAGTCGATGCAGGTCAGGCGCTTTGTTCATCCTTGTATGCAGTTGTTACATTGCTTAGCGTTGTGATTTGATTCGGCCCAGGAATTTCAGGGTTTCTGTGCTTCAATTTGACCTGACCATGGAGTTAAATGTTTGAATTGGAGCAGGGAAATTTTGTTATGAAGACAAGCACTACTCTGTATTTGCAGTATTCGTTTCTCCAATGGTCTTCACACTCGATTCTTCAGTCTGGGCAACATCAGATGTTTCCTGCACTTCCCTCTTTCTCCTCTCCGCCTTCCTCTTGGCCTTGAGCTCCTTCACGGCTCTTTTCTCGTCCTCGATCTCCTCGATCCACTTCCCGGCCCCAAACACGGCGCCCTCTGCATCGCGCTTCTTTGTGAGTAGGTATCCCTGGATCTGCGCGACGGAAAATCTGTGTGGAGGAATCTGCTCGGCGAAGGCTCGCGCAAGGTCTGCCGAGTGCGGGAAAAAGCGGGCAAAGACCTGCTCGATCTGCGGTGTGTCGGCGAACGTGTACTGGATCTTCATGTCCATGCGCCCCGCTCGGATCAGTGCGGAGTCTAGGTTCTCGATGTGGTTCGTCTAAGAAGTACCAACGGAGCTGTGAGTTGGGGATAATGCCCATGAGATTCCGAACGCACAGTTGCAACAGTGAGTCTACCATCTGTGCTAGACACCGAATCGAGGACATTCAGCAATCCGGAAAGCGTGACCTGCGATTTTGGGGGCGGGAGAGGACGTGGAACCTGTTTTCCGTCCTTCCTGACCGAGGGATTATCATCCTCTTCATCGTCGGCGTCATCTCTCGAGGGAAAAGCACAGTCGATGTCTCTGCGTGCAAGTGAGCATTGTAGGCGATTGCCTTTCGAGGCCCGTTGACTGACTCGAGCAAGATGATACATCGGGACGGAGTGTCGCTAATGAGCTTCGCCAGCGTGTAATCGTCGATCCCGGGGTTCGCGAGCGAGACAAAGTATATCTCGAGACCCAGCTCTCCGGCCTGATGCCCCAGCGGTGAGCACATCCGGCAACGGTCGTTTTGCACTTACCAATGCATGAATCGTTGAACTCTTCCCCGTTCCGGGCTCTCCGTCTCGAAGACAGGGTCAGACCAGCGAGAACTTGGACAGAAAGCACCCACAGAGCAGATATCCCCGCCGGTATGGCACCCCGGCATCCGCATACCACCCCTCGCTATCAAGAAACTCGCGTGCATCGGCGATGATCTGCTCTTTAATCTCTCCCGGCAGAATCAACGTGGAGAGCGCACGGCGGGACTTGGTGATTGTTTTCGCCCATTGACCGTGCTAGGAATGTGTGGCATGTCGTCAAAGAGAGATGCTCGGCAAGAGATAAGACTCACGTTGTCAGTGAGATGCACCGATACTCTGGAGGTACCGTTCTCGAGGTACTTGGCTCGCGCGGCATGTATGAGATCAGACAGGATATCTCTGTTGCAGGAATGCAGGCTGTTGTTCTCCCGTCAGAAGGATAGGAAGAAGACGAATGCCATGTGACATACGTGATGGTGACGCTTCCACCGGTGGGCAGGGTTGAGCTCCAGCTGGTGGTCCCAGGTTTCACCGTAACTAGAGGGACGTCAGCGCCAAGGGACTAACGCGTTCTGACACAAACGACTACAAACCTTGCAACCACGTCTGAACACCTGTTCTCGGGCTGGCGAACAGGAACTGCTGCTTTGACTCCTCTGCCGGGAGGTAGCACACGAGGTCATCTGCGCCAGTTCCCCATCCCAGATCACTCTGTTTGGTGCTGACAGTCAACGTATTTGCATGTACCAGCGCATTTTCGGACCGCTGCGAGATCGGTTCAGGGACAGGCTAGGCCCTGGGGCCAGGCAATACAACGCACGAGATAAGCCAGCATCCAATCGTATGCGACATCGCCTTGTGGAAAGACGGCAGTGACGAGCGTGTGCGACTGTGCACAAGATAAGTGTATGCGCAAACGAGATCGGGGATGCCTGCACCGGTTCGTTCTCGGCATCAATCTTCCGGGGAATGACCTTCGAGTCTATGTAGTACTGACGTGCAGTGTTCACAAACTGGTCTAATATCTTCCGGTCCCAGCTCCAGATGCTGTGTCGCGGTGAGACCTAGGAACAGCTTTCCGGACACAGCCCACCTGATGATAAGGGTACCCCCCATCTCCCTTCCATCATCGTAATGATAGAATCCCGGTGTAGTTTTGTTCTGCACTGCATGAGCCTGAGGTATTTTCCCCTGATCGTGGACGCACAACTGAGATCCAATACCCCTGCCATCGAAAAAATATTGGCGTCGCAGCGGCAGGCTCGTACACCGCATCGGGGTGCCCGTCGATCTCGCTCTGATTCCTTTCCATTTCTGCCCCATCAACTAGCCCGGTGCCGGGACGCGTTGCCGCGTTACGCGCAACGACTCGGAAGAAGCGGCTCTCCTTGAAGACACACTGGCTGACGAGGTAGTGGACGACCCAGTCATACGCAAAATCTTGCGTCTGGAACTCGGCGTTGACGACGAATACTGCGTGGGGCTAGTGCATCAGCGCCCGAGAAGGCGATGTCAGGGACCGCACATACGCGTCGATCCAGAGCTGATGAGCAGCTGGCCAAGTTTCTTACCCGCCTCAACGATGGTTCCTTGAAGGGTCCATTCAGTCAGGGGAACACACCTGAGTCAGGATATCGTGGCGCGCACCAAGAAAGATGAATCGGAAGAGTTCCGCTGCCTGAGGATTCTCGGACACCCGCTGTATCGTCGAGTAGATCAGCCGCAGTGGTAGGAACAAAGAGCTGGTCGCGAGTGCGTCGAAGTTATAAGCTAAGGCTAGGAGCGGTAAAAACGCCAGCAGCCATTCTGTAGGCATTGCAGAGGATATGGGAGATGGAGAGAGGTGTCAACTCGAGTCATGCACACTCGCTGCAGTTTATGTACGTATGGGCGCCGCGTCGGCGCTCGTCAATACCCTAGCCACGTGCCTCTCTGACTCGACCACAGATCCGCATCATCAGCATTGGTCAATGTATTCAAAGACGCGTTCCTCCGGGAAGTAAAGAAGTTCGAATGAGGTGCAGGCGAGCTGAGCTTGCGAACAATCGAGAAACACAGGCGTTATGTATCCCTGCTTGGTAAAGAGATCAGACGCGCTCAGGTCACGCGGAGTTAGAAGATCATTGATAAGATCGATTGGATGATCAGAGTCCTTATGTTCAGTTCGAAGAACAGCCACAATGAAATTATCTGCTACAGCTAATAGCAATAGAAAAAGCACACCTCCAAGTTCGGGATTGACTGGGACGGTATCCCAGACGTTCTCGAACGTTTCCATCGTTGCGTTGCGGGGCCCTTGTCATTTGGAGCGCCAACTTAGATTGAACCCTGGGTCGCAATCCCTTTCGGTATCTTTGATTGTTTAACAGAACTCGGCCATAGTAACTACGCTGAATCCGTGATTTGTGGGCCAGCAAGTAGAGAGTTGGCGCCGATGAGAAGCTCACGAGACTCTGGATGGTGGAGAGATCCGATGCGCTCGCCCTAGTCACAGATGGGCCGAGAGTCTAGATTCCCGATGCGAGAAACATCCTCGTATGCTGCTTGTGTACATCTCTTCGCGTTCTGATTCGATACTGAACTAGGAATCTCGGAGTTTCCGGCGCTTCAGTGGACCGAAGGCTGGGGTGCAATTTCCAAATTGAAACTGGAAATCTTTCACATGTAAGCAAGAACTACTGTGCATTTGGAAAATCCGATTTTCCAGTTGTCTTCACAACCGATTCATCACTCTTTTCAATATCAGACGTTTCCTCCGCTGCTTTCTTTTTCCTTTCCGCCCTCCTTTTGGCCTTGAGCTCTTTCACGGCTCTTTTCTCGTCCTCGATCTCTTCTATCCACTTCCCGGCCCCAAGCACGGCGCTCTCCGCATCGCGCTTCTTTGTGAGCAAGTATCCCTGGATCTGCGCGACAGAGAACTTGTGCGGAGGGATTTGCTCGGCGAAGGCTCGCGCGAGGTCTGCCGAGTGCGGGAAAAAGCGGGCAAAGACCTGCTCGATCTGCGGTGTGTCGGCGAACGTGTACTGGATCTTCATGTCCATGCGCCCCGCTCGGATCAGTGCGGAGTCTAGGTTCTCGATGTGGTTCGTCTAAGAAGTACCAACGGAGCTGTGAGTTGGGGATAATGCCCATGAGATTCCGAACGCACAGTTGCAACAGTGAGTCTACCATCTGTGCTAGACACCGAATCGAGGACATTCAGCAATCCGGAAAGCGTGACCTGCGATTTTGGGGGCGGGAGAGGACGTGGAACCTGTTTTCCGTCCTTCCTGACCGAGGGATTATCATCCTCTTCATCGTCAGCTTCATCCCTGGAAGGAAAAGCACAGTCAATGTCCCTGCGCGCAAGTAAGCATAAGCGAATGACTCTCGAGGCCCGTTGACTGACTCGAGCAAGATGATGCATCTAGCCGGTGTATCACTGATTAGCTTGGACAACGTGTAATCGTCGATCCCGGGATTCGCGAGCGAGACAAAGTATATCTCGAGACCCAGCTCTCCGGCCTGATGCCCCAGCGGTGAGCACATCCGTCAACGTCGTTTTGCACTCACCAATGCATGAATCGTTGAACTCTTCCCCGTTCCGGGCTCCCCATCTAGAAGCCAGAGTCACTTCCACAAGACTTTCCGCATGAATCACTCACAGAGAAGGTATCCCCGCCGGTATGGCACTCCAGCTTCCGCATACCACCCCTCGCTGTCCAGGAACTCGCGTGCGTCGGCGATGATCTGCTCCTTGATCTCTCCCGGGAGTATCAGTGTCGAGAGCGCACGTCGAGATTTGGTGATTGTTTTCGCCCATTGGCCGTGCTGCGAATGGGTCACCTCTGGCAAGAGAGTGGTGCTCATGAGGAGACTCACATTGTCAGCGAGATGCACCGATACTTTTGAGGTACCGTTCTCGAGGTACTTGGTTCGCACTGCATGTATGAGATCAGACAGGATGTCTCTGTTGCAGGAATGCAGGCTGTTGTTCTCCCGTCAGAAGGATGCGGAAAGGATGAATGGCGTCGGAACACACGTGACAGTGACGCTGCCCCCGGTGGGCAAGTCCGAGTTCCAGCTGGTGATCCCGGGGTTCACTGTGACTGCAGTGACGTTAGCACCAAACACCCGAGGCGTTCTGACGGGCGGGGCCACGCACCTTGCAGCCAGGTCTGGACACCCGTCCTCGGGCTGGTGAATAGGAACTGCTGCTTTGTTTCCTCTGTTGGCAGGTAGCATACTAGGTCGTCTGCGCCGGTCCCCCATCCCAGATCACTCTGTTTGGTGCTGACAGTCAACGTATTTGCGTGTAAGAGTGCATTTTCGGACCGCTGGGTGACTAGTTCAGAGCGAAGGGAGGGTTGGGTAATGCAACGCACGAGATAAGCGAGCATCCAATCGTACGCGGCATCGCCTTGTGGAAATACCGCAGTGACTAGCGTGTGGGACTGCTCACGGGATAAGGATGTATATATAAAGGAGACCGCGGGTACCCGCACCGATTCGTTTTCCACATCGATCTTCCGGGGCACGACCTTCGAGTCTATATAGTACTGACGTGCAGTGTTCACGAAGTGGTCCAATATCTTCCGGTCCCAGCTCCAGATGCTATGTTGCGGTGAGCTTAGCAAGAGCTTTGGAGACACACGGGCCGCCCACCTGATGATCAGTGTGTCCTTCTTCTCCCTCCCCTCGTCGTAATGATAGTATCCCGGCGTAGTTTTGTTCTATCAAATATGAGCGCGGCCTTGTATTGCTTTGGTTCGTGGACCCACAACTGAGATCCAATACCCCCGCCACCTAAAAAATATCGGCGTCGCAGCAGCAGGCTCGTACACCGCATCTGGGTGCCCGTCGATCTCGCTCTGATTCCTCTCCAGTTCCGCCCCATCAATCAACTCAGTGCCGGGGCGCGTTGCCGCATTACGCGCAACGACTCGGAAGAATCGACTCTCCTTGAAGACACGCTGGCTCACGAGGTAGTGCACGACCCAGTCGTACGCAAAGTCTTGCGTCTGGAACTCGGCGTTGACGACGAATACTGCGTGGGGCTGGTGCATCAGCGCCCGAGAAGGCGATGTCAGGGACCGCACATACGCGTCGACCCAGAGCTGATGAGCAGCTGGCCAAGTTTCTTACCCGCCTCAACGATGGTTCCTTGAAGGGTCCATTCAGTCAGGGGAACACACACTAGTCGGGATAGCGTGGCGCGCACCAAGAAAGATGAATCGGAAGAGTTCCGCCGCTTGAGGATTCTCGGACACCCGCTGTATTGTCGAGTAGATCAGCCGCAGTGGCAGGAACAAAGAGCTGGTCAGGAGTGCGTCGAAGTTATAAGCTAGCGCTAGGAGCGGTAAGAGTGCCAGCAGCCATTCTGTAGACATTGCAGAGGATATGGGAGGTAGAGAGATGTGCCAACCCTGGTCATGCACACTCCCTGCAGTTTATATATACGTATGGGCGTCGCGCCGGCGCTCGTCAGTGCCCTGGCCACGTCCATCTCTGACTCGAGCAGAGATGCACATCATCAGCATGTGTCGATGTGTTCAAGGGTTGTACCTCTGAAACATGAAGGTATTCGAGGTGGGCTTCAGACCAGCCGAGCTCATGAACGATAGAGGAAACCATCTTTTATGTATGTCTGCTTGGCCGAAGGATCAGACGCGCATTGTCACGTGAAGGACACAAGATCACGGATAAGATCGATTAGATGACCGAAGTTTTGTTTGCTCAGTTCGAAGAGCAATGACCGTGAAACAACCTGCGACAGCTTCGTCACAGCTATGGTCTGGACACACCCGCAAGCTCCGAGTTTGCGGTCTCGGTGACCTAGTCGTTCCCGGAGGATACCTTCATCGGGCGAAGAAGTTGCGCGGGCTCGGTCAATTAGAGCGCCGACTACGAATGATCACTACTCCGCGATCAGTCGCAGCATCAATGATCGTCCGCCGAAAAACGCACTCAGCGCTTGCAGTGAAGCTGTCAACATCTGGGCTGTGAAATCCCCGTGTGCTTGCCTTGGTCACGGATCCCGAGTATCGGACACGCCTGGTGGGTTTTTCTTTCGAAGTCACCCACTCTCCATTAAGTTACATGAGACTCACGCCAGTACCACACGGCGAATTACACGCTCCAGGTCAAGCGCCGCCTACTGACATGAGTATTCTCGCGAGGATTCTTCCCGTGAATCGGCAGAAAGCCCATTTATCCGTCCGCCAGGTTCTCGAACATTCACACCGACGGATGCGCCTGTCCTGTGGATACTACATGGCGGGGCTCCTGACGAGGTCCCCGCTCGGAATGTTCCTTTCGGCAAGAGGACGACGGTCTTCGATTCTCCAGTTGCGCATGATGACCACCGGCTCTCGCTCAACACATGTACCCGGCATCTCCCGGAACTGGTTGCAAGTCCTGGACATCACGGTTTTTCTCTGCGCTGCACAACCAATGCAACCAGGTGTGTTTGTTCGCAAGATTCTACTTCTTCTGAAAGAAAATGCGCACGGAAACACGCGTTGAACGCATTCCAGTCGTGTGCTCAACAGAATACCGAACACTACGGGAAATGGTTTATCACATAGAGGTCTCAATGACAAAGTGACGACCTTGTGAAAGACATTGCAATCCCACTGCGACATCACACAATCATCGGCGTTACACAGCATCACTTGACCTTCAGAAAGAACCCTAGAATGCACATTGAGGCCAGTTCCCCACGCGACGATCCTCGCAAACGTGAAGCAGGTGTGTCCGAGCTTTCCAAGTATCCGCGACACATGCAAGCATCCGCAAGTTTGGCGTTAGATGGTGCCAGACTTCACGTGCCTGCTTTGCGGGGTTATCTGATAGACCAATCGAGCGGTACCTCCAATCAAAAAGTTTCTCCCAGGGAAATCACACGACTGAAACTGTGCTCGGGCATAAGATCCGCTATCAAATCTTGTTCTCAAGCCAACACCTCCGGAATCGTTCTGAAATTCAAACGGAGAAGCTCGAACTTTACTTCGGTACATGCATAGTTGTGTATTCAGTCGGTTGAGACAAATGATTCCTTGGCAACAAAGTGACCACTCCCTCATAAACAGATATTCCGGGACCGGCGCAACTTCGCCATGGCGCAGATAACAGTTTTGACGTTCTGTAACTTGGCGGTAATTCGTACCACCTTGTCACGAACTCAACGCAATCACCGATAGACACGGAGTTCGCACGGGAAATTCCGGATATGCGAGCGCGAGCGAAGGTCGAGCCCTCCATTGACCATTCGCCAAAGTACCGCCGCGAACACAAGGTATGGAACGGGAAGTTTTCCATTCTGGGTATCACACACCGTCGAAGCGGCGCCGCTTCCGAGCCGTAATCGGGGCACACGACCCTCCCCGAGGGTGGGGGTGGGTGTCGGCATTTGGGCTGCCTGATCTCGCGCTGCTTCGGACAGCAAGAACCGCCGAGAGCCAAGCAATCTGTCGAACTACGTCTGACTTACTTTGTTGCGACCCGCCGATTTCTGATTCACCGGGAGACCAGATAGTGTACAGCCCTGAGCCCAGGTACGGGGTTTTTGGCATCGCGGGAGCGTGCCTTTGAATTGTATGTAGCTGTCAATCTAGCGCGTAGGCACCGCGGTTAGACGTGCAGCGCTGATGGGGATGACGTTGGCCCAGGGCGTTGACAGATTCGGGATGCTGATCCGTTGGGGGGGGGAGGCTTGAGATCCCGGAGTGGATGGTGGCGCACCACGCCCTGCAAGCTTCGCGCACGGTATGTGATCAGCGGGTCGCGCACTCAGTCAGCCCATCAAAACGGTCTGCTGGCCTTTGGACAGAGCTCCAGAGATGTGCCGACAGCACGCATGACAGCAACCACGCAGGTGGTCACCCCCCGGACACGGTCTGATATCCTTTCCCCTGCGTCGAAGCCGTGACAACGTTCTTATAGCGCACAACGTCAGCATGCCAAGGCTCTCTCACGCGCAGGATAGTGTTGCGGGACAGCGCGTGGGTACATAGATGAAATTTCGAGATGCAATAGTTAAAAGTACGGTGGCTGGTAGTACATGGATGGTACAGAACAGATAGATAGATAGCTAGATAGATAGTACAGTGGCCTGGGGACTCAAGTCTCGCTCAGAACAGAACTGGTCGGGAGGGTCGATGCTGATGCTGGCACAGGGCGTTCGATTAGTTTGTTGCTGGGAGAGACAATCAGACAGCGCTCAGCACCCATGCACCACGCACGTGCCTGATGTAGAGTACGTGTCATGATGATACAGAATCAAGCGTGCGGGAGTGCGGGGTTACTCTGCAGGGAAGGCGTTACGGCACGGTCAAAAAAAGTGGGGTGGGATCGGCCTTACTGAATGGGCAGGTGGGACTGTAAGGTCGCAGGGTCGTGAGCGAAGAGTCGCGCCAAATGGGATGGATCGAACGTACGCATGCGATCCGCGCCAGCTGCAGTGCGCGCATTGGGGTCCGCGATTGTGGCTGACAGCCTCGACGTGGGCCGTCGGTTCGGTCTTGGCCTGTGCTAGAGAGCTGGTGGAGGACAACGAAGAGTGCATCGCAGCAGGGGTGTGGGGCTGAGTGGTGTGGGTGTGTGTATCGAGGCTTATGAGCTCCTGAGGAGTCCATTCGACGCGCCCGCCTTTTATCTGTCCCGGAGCTCACACACGAACACCCGAATCGTCATCGAGATCTCGCGGTTTCACGCCCTCGCTTACCCACAAATCCCGTATAATAAACAGGAGAGTTCCGGACTCCTTGCCGAGTGATGGCTGACACCCTCACGCCGTATTCAGAATAAAGGCCTTCATCCATGATGCTTCGGCAGGCTAGCTTCAAAGGGACGGCGGTGAGGCGGTGTCTGTTGTCCAAACGGGATAGAGTCAGGGACTGATGCACCGAACTGAATCGACTGAGATGCCTTCCCACTCCTCCGGCTCCCACATCCCATTTGGGACACGCTTCTGGGTGCGCCCGAGTCTTCTGGGGTTCCTTCCAGAAGAGATGTTCACCTGTCCAGCGTGCATATTTCTTGCTCCAGTCACTTGAGAGCGCTGTGCCGATGACCCGTTCACCCGCGTCAGCAATGCTCCAGCGGAGTGATAAAATCATCCCGAGCCCGGACACGTTTTGTTGCACGAACAAAGACCAAAGATCATGCGTGATTCGCATCCTCGCCCAAGCCTCAACGGGCCGGACTGGCCCGGACTCGGCCCTTGGATGACGCTTGATGGATACTACGTAGTGTGGCCATTCAGGCTGACAGGTACAAATATCGGGAATGTTTCAACGCCTACAAGACTGCTGGCCCCTGACCGAGTGCGACGCGTGGCGTTGAAGACTCGCGCAAATCAGAGCCAAGAAAGGAGGCTACCGTCAGCACATGCCGTCGCTCACGTCCAGTGTCAGTTCACCGGATAACCATCATATGATCTTCGTTCCAGCAAATGGCCTGGCTGTGCGTCAGCGGTCTGCCCCGCACGTCAAAGGGAAATAAACCGCACAAGTACGGAGAATCTCCCTGAGGCGCCCAAACCCCGATCGAGTTCTTTCATTCGCGTGAGACTCGTCAAGAGTCGGGTGCGGACGATGTCATTGAAGCTGATGTACTTCCCGAGCTCCTGGGCACATGATGCAGCCTTCGTCGAAGGGCTCGGTGGCGTGTCAGCCCCACGGGAGTTGGGTACCCATGTGTGATTTTTCAAACGAGAGTGTTCGCGCAGGTGCCCCCCATGATCCAAGCGAACGCCACCGGTAAGAGGATGATCAGAAGAGAATAATCCTTGAGCCCCCCGCGGCATGTATCAGAGAGTCTAGACTTCAAATCTTGTGCGTCGCAATGAGTCCAGCGTCGGGTGGTGCTTCCTCGACACGTCCACATATTTCTTCAAACTTCTAAACACACTGTGCCCCGCCTTCGAAGATCGACGAAAGGCATCGGAAGTTCTGATAATTATGACTTGGAACTCATCGCTACAGACGGGGTCTGGGCATTATTATCATATGTCAGAAGCTGTCTGAAGACAACTTTTCTACTAACAAACCCAGTAATTTGTATGGCCAAGAAGCGAGGCTTGTGTGATACAGTGCCGAGACGATAGAAAAGATCCAGTAGAAGAAGTGAAAATTTCTGTTTCACTCAACTTTCGAAAAACTCATGTCCATTTTCGCGGAGAGCGAGCGGTGCCACACAGCAGCAGTACTTCGAACACTGTGCTTGTTGGGATCAGATCAGATCATGTGCCGCTGGCTGCCGATGTGACCCGAGCGATGCCTGTGACAGGATCAGTCATCCCGCTGAGCAGCACGCGTTCTCTCTTGCATCGCAGCCTTTCCTCTCGAAATATGGCCGCAAGCCATACCCATCCCTCAATAACGCGCTCGCTGTGAAACAAATTTGTCCGATATGGCAAGCGCTGGCGATTGACACGCTGATCCAGCATGTGGAGCAGAACTCCCATGGCGAGGCGGAGGCCAGGCCGGTCCCCTGGGAACAGTGTTGGAAAGGCCGTTGGATGGATTTACAGCGTCTTTAGGGATGGGCAGGAAGCGTTCAGGGCAGCAGTTTCACGTCGTATCACATTCTCATGCGGGAATCTACCTTCCAAGATCCAGGAACACTCCCTCTTGCAGCACTGTTCTGCCCTGGCCTTACAACCCCGGCATTATCCGCAGTGGGCTAAGTTCTCCTTAATCAGACGCACCCGGCGCGACTAGCGCTCCGTCTTTGCAAGACGCACGACACCCACTCTTCCCACACTTCTCCTCGCCCAATGCCCGCAGGGATGTCCCCATCATTGCCGCAACTGGTTTCGGGCTCGATGCGTATGCGACATGAGCACCAACCGATGCCCGGGCACACGACAGCCTGTAGAATCCTAGAGAGTGTTCCTTAGCTGCATCCCCTCGAGGGTCAAGGAGCTTCCCCACGCGCAGGTCCCGCGTTGTGTCCGGGACGCAATCCAGCGTCTGGTGACGCCCGTTGGTTCGTCTAAGTGGCATCGCTGCTTACCATGCACGCCTCTCTGGAGCAGACTCTGGCACTACGGCACCTGCATGTCCGGATGCCTACGGGCATAGAATTCATTGGTCAGGCGTCAGGCGGATGATGCTCATCGGCGTCGATCTTCCATACTCGAGACTTTCGTAGGCCGAGCCTTCGCAGCAAACAGCGATGTGTCCAGAAATGCTGGCTCCAGAAGCAAAAAGGCGACGTTCAGCACAGTCTGAGACACCGCACCCGAGTCTATCCGCCTCGTCCAGCAGTCTCTGCGCAAGACACTGACGGAGATGTAGTTGCAGCTTCTGCAGTGGAATCAGCCGGCCAGCCCTGCGATCAGGAAGCAGCGGCTCGAGGTACCGTCACGGTTCGCTAGCATCTACGGCCAACCGACCAATGCGCGCGCTTCCTTTGGTTACAGAAGTTCCTCATGTCACTCACTGTCGAGCATTTGCCTCCCGGTCAAGGTCCAGCATTTCAGTTTCTCTTTTGTACAACCTCCACTGCAATCCGGTTTCTCTGCTAGGAAGGCACATTGACTAGGGTTAGGTGATCGAGACGGCAATGGATGTCTGGAGACCTTACACAGTCCGTCACAGACCCAAAACACACGTCCGGAGGTTCAGGCCCTCGCATGTGCGAAAGTGGAGACTGGTCTAAGGCTGAGCCGGGCCGTTCGTGAATCACTCGTGGGCTGTTTCTGGCTCGGACTCGTACGGGTCATCAGTTGGTATTACATAGACGAACATGGACCGGCTAGGTAGTAAGTATGGGACACCTTTGGCACTAATTGACATAGCAACGAACATTCGACTGCTTCGTGGTCACCTTGCGCTGTAGCTGGGCACCCAAGACTGGCATTTCGATACTGGTGCGGGCTCAGCATCGCACACTGGATCGACAATCTGTTGCGCACCGTATTTCCATCTCTGCATCCTCGAGATCCAAGCGGCACTCGTTCGAGGTAGGAACTTGATTCAGCTCGGCACCGCGGAAGACTGGGCTCTTCATGGTATGAAAGGGAGGGACGTAGACTGCCGGAGAGAACTTGATACGGTGGAGGAGGCTGACGAAGAGTTCGCCATCGCGTTGAGTTGCATTCCCGAAGAAAGTGTCGATGTACATTCCGAATGGGAGGGGGTTCTCGACTGAACCGCTCGTGAGAGGGAGACGCAGTATGTGAGAGTGAACGTACAAGTCAGTTGCAAGCTTTCAGCGGAGGGACATGGAGCAATTGTGAGTTGCTGTATATCAACGACGACTCGGTGGGTACACACGAGATCTGATTCCCGGCGTCCGGAGGACCGATAAACCCCACGTCGTGAACGAGACCCACACCAAGCTTATCGGCGACGTCCTTGACGGTCCCCGCGTGATGATCGGCCATGAGGAGGAACTGTCCCTCAGCAACCGTAGGCGAAAGTCCGTTGCGCATGTTCTCGCTCAAGTCTTCGACGAAGGGCATCTGGAACGACCCTGAGACGGAACCAATCGCGGCCAGAAAGAGAAATGAGCATGCGCGTCGGTGGAGGCTACGCATGACAACAGCAGAAGAGGGGGTGCAGGGATGGTGTCGCGGTGGGTAACGAACTACCCATAACTTGGCGATAAGGCGGATGTGGGGCTGGGAGGCGAGCAGTGAGTGTATACGAAAAGCGGGGAGCGGCTGTTCGGGACCGCTGAGCAGGACGCGATCTTGGGCAGCGGCGTTAAGCGGTCCAAGGTTCCAGCACCCAAGTATGGAGGCTCGGAAGGCCCTGCTCACAACCGAGACAGTTGACATTGATGGCAAGTGATCTAAGACCCCAGACTTTGTGTACGTACATAAGTAGCTAGGCCCTGTTGAAGATGCGCGTAGTGACTTCTCAGTTACAGTTGGGTGATTATAGGACCTGTAAAATTCCCACTAAATGTTAGCCCCCTGTTGGACAATTTTTGGCGGGGAGGGATTAGCCCAAATGAGTCGGGTGTTAGAAAAAAATTGCGGCTCCATTCGGCGATATAAAAGTCACAGGGTTACAAAAATTAGCCCCAGTCCGGTCTGGTCTGACCCCGAATTACCCAAATAGATCAATTTTTGTTGATCGGTGCTCCAATCGAGACACTCGTTCAATTCCGGACTAGATTTAGAGTAGTTTGTGTAAAATCATTTGTAAATCATTCGCTGATTGGAGGTCAGGTATGGCGCGGTTCATTTAGTTTTGAGGTAAGGTGAATTTTAAGCACATCAAAAAACCGGATTTTGGGTCCTGGTGACCAATGACCGACAGTTAGGTTTGGGTTGTAATAGTACACTAGTTTTAACGATGAATATTTTCCTCTTTCCAGTCACTTCCTTTTCATGAGAGGAAGAGAATGGCTAGAGGGATAAGCCCAAAATAAATCCCTGAGAGAGTAGAAATTTCCAGGTAGGGCGAAACCGGCAGGCCCGTCAACTATGAATATTATACTAGTCAGAAGCCTGAACTACGGTCTCTGGGATGCGATGATGCAATTTGTGTACCTGCAAACTAACTTCCAAACCTCGAGTTGTGTCAGCTGCATCTCCAATTCCTTCCAATATGTGTCCGTCCACCAAATCAATGATCATCCTGTGTTCGTGATCTTGAGACGGTGTGTGATCAATTATTGTTGCTGGTTGGCGAGCCTGTGGATGTCGCTTTGCCCGAGCACAAGCAGCGGCAGCGCTTTGTGCTTTTGTTAGCAGATGAGTGACGTGTTATGTGCCTTTATCCTCAATTCTCACATTCAGCATCATTTCAGGCTAGAAAACGGGATATATAGAAAGAAATCTCCTCCGGCTGATTTGGCAGTCTTTTCCCAAGTAGTGGTCTCTAAGTCGACCGCACCATACGGGTTGGACAAAAATCCAGGGCTTAAACCCGATGTGCGTTAGAATTAACATTTGAAAATGTACGTAAAAGGAGCATGTCATCGTGCGCATGGGGTCCTTACATCGCCTATCAACGTCAACTGTCTCGGTTGTGAGCAGGGCCTTCCGAGCCTCCATACCCAAGCCCGGCATTTGGACGAAAGTGCAGGTCGCAACTGGAGAGAGTGACATGTCGCATGTCACAGGACGTGTGATTTCGGCACTCGCCGGTCGCCATCGCGGGCTAGATCGTACCATGATCAGGTTCATTCTTGTACAGGTTCGTCGCTCGCTCGCGCCATCCCTACTACCCGGCCAATTAGTTCTTCAAAGAACAGGCAAGGCAAGACGCGTCTGTCGAAGTGGTATGTTCCCTACGACGATGAGGAAAAGGTCTGCATTGGTCGCGTGGTGTGTTGAAGTGTGTTGATGGAGGCTTCGCTGTAAAGGTCCGCCTGAGAGGCGAGGTGCACCGGCTTGTCGCGCCACGAGACCAGAAGTATCAGTCCAACTTTGTCGAGGTGTGTGTCACTCCCGAATGACTACTACAGGAGTGCTCATTCGCTCACGCGCGACATAGTTCCGCAATTTCAAAGTCGTGTATCGGCGATACGCAGGGCTCTTCTTTTGTGTCTGCGTAGACGCAAACGACAACGAACTGGCGTATCTCGAAGCTATCCACTTCTTCGTCGAGGTGCTTGGTGAGTCGTCTTGCCAGAGCGCACTTCCTCCGATGTAACGTATGCGCCAGACACTTTCTTTGATAACGTCTGCGAGCTCGATCTTGTTTTCAACTTCTACAAGGTGGTTCGGTCGCGAATGATATCTCTTTTTTACTAAACCGCTCAGGTCTACGCGATCCTCGACGAAATCTTTCTCGCAGGCGAGATCGAAGAAACAAGTAAGGAGGTTGTGCTGAGTCGCTTGGAGGAGCTTGAAAAACTGGAATGAGATGCTCGCTATGTGCTGTGTTCATATTTGTGCGTTGTTTCTTTCGCTGTTTGGCCGGTGATTCATCGCACGACTAGATCCAAACAGAATCATATGTTGTATCACACTGCGCAGTCGTGGCCCGTAAGTACGAGGCGACCCACAGTAGCTTCTTGTACGGTAAAACGTTTTGGAATGGCTTGTCCTCCTTCATCAACCATAAGTACTTGGCAATATCAGCAGATGAAGCCTAGTTCGGTCTAGTGTCGCAACATGCAAGCATCCGCTGGTGGTTGTTGCGGTCATTTCCCACGTCCAATCCGTTGCGAGCTTTCACTTCTCCAGCTGACATACTGTAAGGTGCGGTTTTGGGGCAGCAGATCGATGTATGGCCCAGACGTCAGTGTGCGGGGGAGAACCACGATAAGAATATGGCCGTTCTTCAAACGAAACAGCGTCAACAAGCCTTGAATTAATCTATTTATCACGTAGAGATCCTTCCGGAAGCTCTTCAATTGGGCAACTCGAAGCTCCCGCATCCATGCGATACGGATTTTGGTACTACTCTATCCACCAATACGTTGGAGTTTTTGAACGTACCTCCACTGGACAACATCCGAACTCTCGCGAAACGTGCCAATGTCGCTATCGTGGACATTCGGTCACTCATAGATTGAACTACACACTGTGCCCAGGGGATGATTGGAGAGAGTTATGCAAGCCTTTTTCAAAGAATGTGACTTCGCGGATGTCTATGAGGCAGATCCGATGAACTCGCTGCTGCTGCTTAACACATATGAAAAAGAATCATATTAGAGGCTGAGTCCTTGGACGGACTTGTGTTTATCATTTCCCGGGCGATTCGCCATGCACTCCACACCCGGATATGCGCTTGATGCCGACGGTCTGCATCGCACATAATATCTCATGAAAAAAAAAAAACGCTGTGAAACGTAGCCGTCCTCTTGGAAATGATCACAAGGATGGTTAACAACTGCAGGTCAGAACCTGTCTGGTACTACTCTTCATTCGGTTGCATACATTTGATAGCTCGATCCTGATTTTTCGACTCCTCTTTCCTACTTCATCCGGAAAGAGAATTCCACTACTCGGTCATGCTCGACAGGTACACTGTCCGATGTTCCGTTTGTGCTGGACGATTGGGCTGAGCTAATGAGATATTGAATATCTAACGAGTTGAATAAGCGAAGCGTCTGAAGGTGGGTAAGCACCAGACGTGCTGTCAGTTCACGTTGACACAAGAAGCCAAGCACCGGATCTGCGTCTATTTACTAACATGGAGTCTTTACATACAACCGATTTACATCCCTGGGCAGATATCTCAAAGACAAAGACTCCGGGGCACATGAATGACGACATGCGCCCTGCATGCGGGCCAGGGATAAGATGGCCAATTTTTGCACCCGATTATCACCCTGTCGTAATCACACACATCCCATCAAACGGGACTTCGCGATCACGTGCAGTTACGGGTTCTCACGGTTCGACGTGCTCAAAGTAATTTGAGGTCCGGCATGCTCCAATCTAGATCAATTTCCTCGAGTTGAATTTTTTCTTCGACTGTAAAGGTTCCATGTGCTAGGCCAACCAATCGGAATTGCGAAAGATCAGACCGGAGATGAGCAGATTCAATCTGAACGCTCACGTGCCGTCTTCACATCAATGTCTGATGTGACATGGGATCAAGTGACCTCTGAGCCCTGCCACAAGCTCCTTGGTCTAGGACGCGGAACGCATTAAGATTTTCAACTCGAAAGTCCCCCCCATCTATGTATAGTGATGATCTAATTCGCTGCCGCTGGTGGATAGCGTAAATTTCTACCGGGCAGAGTTTCTATGACCTTATTGCGTGTCCTTTCCGCAGCATATATTTCAGTGATCTTTTATAGAGTGCTAGTACCAGAAGCTTTACGGAAGACAGATTTGCCCTACTGGATCTTTCCGGATGTTTCCCCATCCACAAGTGTCGCCGGTGTCTGTCACTACTGATACATCCAGCAACGGCATGGCGTATTGGTATCTGGAGCCCAGGGACTTGCCAATTGGCAACGGGATCGATCCGAACCAAGCAAGCAATCTCTCTTCTTTTGCCATTCAAAATGGATGCGGCTTTGTCAGCTCGTCAGGGAACCCTGGAACGTTCGACTAATTCAGAACAGAATTGTCAAAACCCTCTGATACACATCCCCCGGAGCTGCGATGCAAAGTCATTTCGTCGAGAAGATCTCTGACATAGAACGGGCAACGTTTTGGCTCGTCCCGTTTGCGTGTCCTATATACAGAACATCCTCTCGGTCACCCGGTCCTGCCGTGCGACACAAGTCTCTGATCCGTGCTAAATTAACACTTGAGCGGAAAGTTCTACGAGCCAACCAGCCTCGGTTTAAGGTAGGTTACGTGACCGGGACAGCTCGTGTGTATCTTATTGCCCTCAATGACGTGGCCTGGTGACTTACTTGATTGCTGGAGTCGATTACTGTACAGACCACGTGGAGGTCAGATGTTCATTATCCTGAACTCCGTTCCTGTTGTTCCTAGATATTTGGTGGGCCGGCCCATGTAATCCGAACATCCGATTGGCTCAGGACCTCGTATGTGAAGCATCTGTGAGTTTTCTTTTTGAGGAGCGTGGAGAGAGTACAAGTCGAGTCCCTATCAATAATTAAGACCCCTCGCCGCGCGGTCCTGCGCTGCTCTGCAAGCCCAACAGTACTCGTCTACTGCATCGACGTCGTTTTGAATTTCCGGGCCAAAGTTCTAATCACGCAGCAGGATATGAGCCCTCAAAAAAGCAAGCATGCACGTGTTATCCAACGCACACGAGCGCACGTTCGAGACCGGCACTCCCGTGGGTGATAGACCGAGCGCTCGCATTGCCGCGAGTTGCAGTCTAATATCGCGACGACGAGATGGCGCTGGAAATGCTGGCCGGGTTCAGTGTGGAGCAGTCGAAGGGGCCGTGAGCAAGCTCACACCACAGACGGTCCATCGTGTTCCTTCTCTGAAGTCCCTGGTCAGCACATGCGGGAAATGAAAGGTTCTGCAAGCCCGAACTGACGCTATTTGGCGACACATTTTCGTTCGGAGCTGATCCTGGGCGCGATGACAATTCACAGACATGCGACGAGGAGGATTTATAGAAATCCGTCCAGGGTCTGACATTCATCGACCCCCACTGCTTCGATCTATCGCACCGAGGGAGGTTTCTCAGCCCGTGTGCTTGAGAAATTCACCAGATCGCATCTGTAGCTACCCGGAGTGAGATCCCGGATCCCGGAGAATATGTTCGGAAGCCTAGATGACGGCGGTGTCTTGGTCTCTCTTAACTGATATCTCTGCATGGCCGCTGTCATTCCGCCCATTGTGACGCCGATAGTGCGGTTCCGACCCGAGACCAGCGGAGACCTGCCAAAAGTGCTTGCGGAGCTCAAAATGGCGCAATTCCGACGTGGTGCGTTTGCACAAACAAGGACGCTGGTCCGAATTTAGCGCATGTTTCGTTTTCTGGCGTGCCTCATGGGCCAACAATTGTGGCACGAGTACAGGCCGGGCCTTCAAAGTCAACAAGTATTCGACGTTATCTGACGATCAGAGGAGGTCGCATGTGGATGACTAGTTGAATGGTGGAGCGGGTGTGAAGGGAGGGGCGTTTCAGTCGGTGCTCTCGGTGACGGATGTAAAGAGGATCGATACCTCGTAGCCGTGTGTGAAACAACGACAACGGAGAGGGTCACGGTGGTCTGATCCGTTTTAAAGCCTGTTAAACTTCTTGCGCATCCCCCAACACTCATCAGGAATGTGGTAAGACCATCTAGCAGATCGCTGCAATCAACATTCACATTCATCTTGCCGATACATGCTTCAAGTAGTTCCCAAGCCCTGGGTCCAGGAACTCACTCCCACGCAGCATCCCATCCCAGTCCACTGCGATCCCACTTGCCGCCCTCCTCGCCGAAAGCCATCCAGCCCAGGGCTGTGCAGGTGATGCCAGCTGCCCGGATCCAGGCTGTCCCATCAAGCTTGGCGAGGCCCGGATGCGTCTCATTCCCATTTTCATCTAGCGCGCCGAAGACCTGGCCAGCGGGGACGTTGCCGTAATGGATGTGTCCGTAATACAACCCCCGGATCGTCTTCACGACGTGGGAGTCGAAGTGGTCGAGCCCAGTGGTAATAATCGGGGCCCAGGGATCCGCGGCGGTGCTGGTTTTGAGGCTTGCAGGGGCCGGCAGAGCGGGATAGGACATCAGCAGCGAGGCGTTGATATGAGGGCGCCCACGGGCAATCCCCCATACGGCGCAAGCGCGTGCGAAGCCTTGCAGCATCTGGACCTTGTGAAGCTTCTGGGGCAGCGCGTCAAGCAGGCGAGGCAGGACAATCGCACTGGTAATGGCGTGCATGAGGAAGAAGTCGATGCGGGGCCCGTGGCCCGTGCGCCCCACCCCTGCGGTGAGTAGCATCGCCTGCCAGTAGGCTTCCTCGATGCGTTTACTGATCTCCGCATCGAAGGCTGCTCCTTCCAAGGTCGTGTCGATAGACCACTTCGAGTACAAATTGCGCAAAGCATGGGTGTGTATGGGAGAGTCGCTGATCTTGTAGAACCCAGTGCCGATGGCGTCATTCGGAACATAGGGGAGGGTAGGCGTCAGTTCGGGGGACTCGTACACCTGGCGAAGGATCGAGAAGAGTGTGACACCCTTGGTGGGGACCTCGGGGACTTTGGGCATCGCAGTAGACCAGTGGTCGGCGACAACGGATGAGAAGTTTCCTTCCGTGCCTGCACACATGGCAAGACCTGCAGGCGGATCAGACCCAAGGATTCAGTCGCGCTGACGTTGGATATTGCACACACCTTGGGCAACCAAAGAGTCGAGACCCAATTCCACTCCAAACTGCGAAGCACGGATAAGTCGGATGCCGCCCTGTCGCAGCTGCTGAAAGACTTACTCCGATGTGAATGATGGGATGAAGCGCGCCCCCAAACAGACGACCGAACATCGATGCGCCATTGAAGTTGGCATCCGGAGACATCAAGTAGTCCTCCAGAGTCTTGGTGACACCGTACTTGGCGATCTTCTCCTTGAAGAACACGAGATAAGTAGCATAGGCGCTGTAGTTTCATGAGATCCAAAGAGTTGAGGGAGGCAGGCACGCACCTTCGGTCTCCGAGTCGCGAAGTCCAGCGCACGTCGTCCAGCGGAGGCCCTGGCTCACCGACAGGGCGCTGGTCCCGCG